AGTATAGGCGGCTAACGTAAATTTCCTGAAAATTTTAGATATATAAATTTGTTGAAAATTTAGGAAAATGATGAAGCAAATTTTCCAGAAATTTAGAGATCGAAATTTCGGGCTACCCAGAACCAGAAATTTCCGAGCTAGAGCATTCCGACGTATAGCGTACCGCATAAGATTAAGTTGACCGAATCGACGTACGACGCGCGACGCAAGACAACGGCGACGATGCGCGACGACGCCGGCGACGACGCGCGCGACGACGCACGCGACGACGAAGACGTATCATAACGACGACACGCGACGACGAATTGGCACGACGACGACGACGCCGCACACGACGCACGACGCGCGAGACGTACGACGCCCGAAACACGACGCACGACGACGACGACGACGACGCCCGACGACGACGACGACACCCGACGCCCGACACCCGACGCCCGACGCCCGACGCCCGACGCCCGACGCCCGACGCCCGACGCCCGACGCCCGACGCCCGACGAAAGACGCCCGACGAAAGACGCCCGACGAAAGACGCCCGACGCCCGACGCACGACGCACGACGCACGTCGCAAGACGCACGACCCACGACGCGCGACGCGCGACGCACGACGACGACGCCCGACGACGACGACGACCTGGTAATGCCAGGTAATGCGCTTTGTAATGCCATAAAACAAAGCACGCTCGTAATATCCTGGTAATGCCAGGTGATGCGCTCATCTTGGAAGTGAAGTAAAAGTCCTGTTTAATATTTTAGCTTTGTAATGCCACAAAACAAAGCACGATTGAAAACAATGAAAGCATGCAATGAAAGCATGCAGCAACATGGCAAATGATCAACACCTGAACTCAACGGTTCAAGCGGTCAACAATGCTTCGACATTTTCGGCCACCCAGCACCCTAAATTTTCCGGAAATTTAGGGAGCTGGGCCGTGGCTTCTGAACATGATCAGGCTGCATCCGTTTCCTAAATTTCCTAAAAATTTTGGGTGTGTAAATTTTCGGAAAATTTAGGAAAGCGATTAAGTAAATTTTCCGGAAATTTAGGGACCGAGGCTTCGGGCTACCCGGAACCAGAAATTTTCCAGAAATTTAGGGGAGCGAATCCGGCTTGCGGCCGTCGAAGAGGCCCAGCCTTTCAAAGGGCACAGCCCAAGCCCCAAAATTTCCCGGAAATTTTGGGTCCCGGGTAGGCCAAAGCGGCTTGCTCGCCGGGGTCCAGAAATTTCCGGAAAATTTTGGGGCTGGGGCACTCCGAGGCGTGACGCACCGCATAGGGCTGGTTTGACCGTAGCGTTTTCTAGAGTAGATATTCATTATACCAATTCGTAAGTAGTGTAACAACACTGACTTCTATCACCGGAATCCGCCGAGACCTCGGGCCGGAGGTGTATAGGTTGTCAGAACAGGCACCCCCCTCCAAATCCTCCCCCACACCCAAAACCCTTTTTCGGACCCTTTTTTTGCCTCAAATGGGTACCCCCCCTGGAAAACCGGGGTCCGCAAGCGGACGGTTCGCCAGGACCAGAGGCAGTTGAAGCCCCTCCCAGCAGGACCCCCACCCCCCCCCTACAATTCCCCCCCCCCCCCCCCCCCCCCCCCCCCCCCCCCCCCCCCCCCCCCCCCCCCCCCCCCCCCCCCCCCCCCCCCCCCCCCCCCCCCCCCCTCCCCCTTCCCCCTGCCCCCCCCCTTTGAGGGGCCTGGCTCAACCCTACCCCAAAAAAACCCCAAAGCTTGAGCCCTAGGCCCTCAATCCTAAACTAACCCCCCCAACAATAAACCCGGAACCTTAAACCCTAAACCCAACCCTTATTGCTTGGGGTCCAGCGACTTGGGCGCTGTGGAATCACCATGCTCACGCGGATGCGCTGGGCCGGGCCAAGGCGGGTCGCGTAGCCGTGAAATTAAAGTCGGAAACCGACCATTGTGGTTGTCTCAAAAACCAGGGCCGCAACGAGCCCGACGAGTCTTGTAGCCACATTCGCCTCGTCTTCCTGCCGTGAAGCGTTTGGAACAAGCAAACGCGGATCCGGTCTCCTTCCCTAACCCAAGCATGCCCTTGTGCTGAACCGCCCTGTGGGACCCCGCCCCCATTGCTTGGAGGAGCTGCAAACCGATGCAGTACCTGTCGGCGGCTCCTGCAGAGGGGGCGCTCCCGGAGCCCCCTGAAACCCCCCTACGACCCCTGAGACCCTGACCCCCTCCCCTTTTTTTGAGGCCTTTCCCAGAAACCCTCTTTTCTTCCTATCCTGTCCATGAACCCGGCTGCCGAGGCGGCGCGCGCAAGCGTTTACAATTATAACGAAATAAACCAATATAGCCATGAACTCAACTTCGCAAGCTCGCCTGCACCCAACTCCCGGGATGACTGCGATGAGCCCTCGTTGCTTGGAAGGCGTGCATTTTTTCATCACGCGTGAGGAGTGCAGACCCAGAATGTGAGACAATATCGCCTCCCAAAGCTGGGCAGCACCTGCAGAGGCTGAGAATGGGTTCGTTTTGTGGTTTATGGTGACTGGTGGCAAAGACGCAGTCTCAAGATGCAGCAACAACAAGCACTTGAAGGCTTCAAACAATGTTACAGAGCCCGCCTCATGCAGGAGCTCCTGAAGTGAAGCGACATGGGAAAAAAATTGAAAAAATGAAGATCGACAGACGCCTACTGCTGTCTCAAAAGTTGTCTCAAAGACCCTTTCGAGGAAACGCTCCTCCTGCCTATGCTCATGACACGCTCCTTGGAACGGAAGATGACAGCACGTCCGCCGCAAGGCGCCAGCTCCTTTCACAAGGCCACAGGTGCACCCTCGGTAAGACTGGCCATGCCACATGAAGCCGTCAGATCATCAATTCTCCCAACGGTTGGCAAACTCGAAGCAATCCTTCAGCTCTCGAGCTGTGGAGCCGGTCAGGTCTCCACGCTTCGTGGCAACGTAGCACCGCAACCTGGGCTTTAGGCTTATTCTAGGGTTGAGGGTTCAGGGCCAGTTCTAGGACTGTTTTATGTGATTTAGCACCGCTTTGCATCAGAATTTGTCTCGGCCCCAAAGCATGCCACCCAAACCTTTTCTTTCGCAATTTTCATGGGACTGTCGTCCGGTCTATCTGCAAGTCCAGTGGTGCGCCTGGAAAGCCCTTTTGCATCGTCCCTTTCGGCTTTGCCTGTGATTTGTTCCCCTGGAGATGCAGGATTGCGGTTAACACCCTAAACCCTAAACCCTAAACCCTAAATTGTGGGGGGAAGGGCCAAGGCAGTCGGCGCGCAGTGCAGGCAAGTGAAGCTCACGTCCAACATGTCCAAACTGACAGCGAAAACTGGAGAAAGCGTCACTCGCCCAGGTTCCAGAATCTCTCACGCAAAAGGCTTGAGAAAGAAAGTAAGTGTAAATGGGCCTGGGCACCGGCCCCCTAAACGTCGTCCAGCCTCATGATCCCCAAAATCCTCGCGCAAACTGGGAGCAGGCTTTTGAGAATTGCGCGGATCAGAAAACGCGAGGCGCGCCTCCGGAAGGTTGACGTAAGCCAACCTCGGACCGAAAATTGCAGATGTCACCGCGACTAGTTGGCCGACCAGGCCGCCGAGGAGCATTGTCAGCTCCCTGAAATTCATCCACGCCCCTGCAAGCAGACACGTGTCATCGCCGCTCAACGATGCACTTCCGTCTGTCGCAATTACCGATTCTCAATGCTCAGGAGTCCAACTTACGCCAAGGTAAGAAAGAGACTTAAGAGACTTAGTCATTCAGGAGGCCTTTGGCCACAGTGTCATCCAAGCGCCGACCTCGCAACGCGCACCATCTTTGACTTTGAAAGAGCGGGGCGACTCGCTCCGGGGCACCGGCGCTTTGCTTCCGCGGCATCCGCAGGCTCCAGACCTCCGGCTCAGCACTGCGCAGCACTGCGGAGCATTGTGGAGCATTGTGGAGCATTGTGGAGCCCTACAGCCCCTAAACAGCTACAGGATTCGGCACTTCTTTCAGCCCTCTAGCAGAATGAGCCTGCTGAGCAACTTGCCACACACTGGTGCAATGCCTCGCGGCGTTTTCGGACGGAGGTGAAGCTGCCATTCATTGTCGCGGTGCTGTTCATAGCACGCACCCTGAAGACAGCCAGCAGCCAATGATCCAGCAACAGCCAAAACAGCCGGAAGCTCGACACTTCGTGCCGGCTCGCAACACACCAAAGGAGCAGTAGTACTTGCATAGCAGCTAAGCAGAAGCCGAATCCCGGATACTGAGGAGCAGGATTCTCTGAGGGTGTGCGAGGAGAACAGAGGAGAGTAGCTTTGTTAACATCGAACGGTAGGGCAGCGCATGGCAGCGCCTGGCCGTCGTAAACGGCGCCCATCCCGAGGCGGCTACACAGCAAGGGCCAGCCCTGCTCCTCGCGTAGCCTGCGCCAGGGCGCGTGAGGGCCTTTTTTGGCTCCTCAGAGGCTTGGCTCACTTGCTCTGCAGACTCTGCAGACTGCAGGGCTCCTAGGTATCAGGATTAGTGTCTCCTCAACAAGGCCGGGAGCTTGAAGTCTGACTGTCGCAGACTTTCATTTGCCAGGGCTATAACGGGTTTAGGACTGGGATACGCTGAGTCAAGCACAGCGAAATGGAAGATGCTGTGAGCAACACAATGCAGGAGACTCCACTGACAGTGGCCGGGGGCCGAAAGGCTCGATTACTGCATGGGGCTTGGCTGGCAAGGGCCCCTTGCTGTGTCCGCTAGCTGGTCAAAGTAATACGATGTCATGCTCTTTCCCTGCACTCCTCAAGGCCCAAAACCTAAACTTGAAGCTTAGCCACAGTAAGACCACCCCAAAAATCCGCAAGGCCCCCTCGACCAGCCTGGCAGCAGCGGCCTCCAAGCGCTTGAAGAGCCGCAAGATCGGCGCCGGCGGTGCCGGCTCTCCACCTGCTTGTCCATGAGGGGGTGAAGGGGGTCTTTGGCCATAGAGCTTGGGCTTTCTCAAAGCTTGCAAAGCCCCGCCTTGGACGTCCCAGAAGCCACAAGCGTCGTCGCGGCGCTGTCCCTGGCTCAGGAGGCGCGAAGTGAAGTCACAGCCCTCGCTCAGATAACTTCTGGTAAGCTAATTAGTGCTCCAGATTTAAAGTGGGCACCACCGAGACCAGAACCTGGGACTCCAGCCGAGCAGCCTCCAAAGCTCGCCGATTTCGGGCATGGCCGCCTTCCGCGCACTCATCCACCCATAGGCCTCGATTCTCTGCTGGCGCGCCAAGCAAGATGAAGGGATCAAAACGGGTTCTAGAGTTTAGGGTTAGGGGGTTTACGGGGTTTACGGGGTTTAGGGTTTAGGGTTTAGGGGTTAGGGGTTAGGGGTTAGGGGTTAGGGGTTAGGGGTTAGGGGTTAGGGGTTAGGGGTTAGGGGTTAGGGGTTAGGGGTTAGGGGTTAGGGTTCAGGGACTGTGCGTCCGAGGGGCTGGAGCCTCGCGTCAGCTCGCGCCTGTGCAGTTGGCAGTGCAATCCCTTCTCCAAGGTGTCCAGATATTGGGATGTTCCCCCCTTAAACTAGCACTCCTGACTAGGGATTGCAATAAGGGGTACTAGAATCCCTATTAAGGACTGTTAGAACAAGGAGGAACATCCCAATCCAGATATGTCAAAGTCCCCCCAAATGGGGCGAAAATAGGTGTGCCCTTTTTGTGGGTCCCTTTGAGGGGATTCTATTCTACTTAAGGGGATTCTATGCTTTTTAGGGGTACCAAAGGGGTACCCCTATTTTGGGAAATGCCCATTGGGAAATGCCCAAACTAGTACAACAACACTTCTGCTGCATGACAGTCCTCTGGAACATGTCCTCCAGAGCCCGGTTGGCTTCCTCGCAGGTCGTGTTTTTTGGAAACCAGACAGGCTTTCGGGCTTTGGGGCAGCTAAGGGGGCTTCTATAGGCTATCGGGGATAGCAAGTTGTTTAGGAGCCGATGCTTAGGATAGTAAGTTCCGGAGCCAATTTGTAGGTAACTCGTAGACTCAACTCAGGGCCTTGATCTCCTCCAAGGTCGCGAAGTTGTCCCAGACGTACGGCGCCCCGTCCTACAGCCACACACAGCACTGCATCCACTCCGGTCGAGCTGTAGGCATGGGGATAACGAGACCAAGCTTGACAAAGAAACTTCGGCGAGAATCTTGCTGTATTGCTAGCCTCCTCGAACTCCGACGAGCCTGCTAGCTACCAGCTTTTCACGAACTCCCTAGAACTTGCAAAGCCTACACAGAATGCTGCAGCATTCCCAGACATGGCTCATCCAGAGCTTCCACCGCGGCGCTCGCATCGAAAGAAGAGGGCAGGCTGCCTACCAACAATCGCACGGAGCACGCCAGAATTCTATTCTCTGCTGTTTATGTCTGCTTTGGGCTTCAGTACTAGATTCTGGCTTGGAATCTGGGCTGCAGGTGCAGAAATTGGCAAAAACACTTGCCCGCTTTGGGTCATGAGCTTCTGACTAGTGGCCTTCAGATTCCTGCTTGCATCCTCTCCCCTGGAAGTGACGACGCTTGGGAATGCTTGGGGCGGCGTCATTATTCAAACTCACAAGAATGAAAACATTGCATCCCCTCTCACAATCTCTCCCTGGTCTCCTGTCGTCCACTCTCTGCCGACCGGATCTGACTTCCATTGCACGATGTTGCTGCTCTGTCAACACTGCCTGGCCGTGGGCGATGCCCTTCGTAGAGCTCCCAAAGCCAATCGTCCATGCCGTTGAATACCACTCCACCATCTGGCTTCCTTAGAACGAAAGCTTGTCTCATCCCAGCATTGCTCTTTCTGGGTTGTTCAACCACAAATCGGGCCCAGGATCCTTCGCCCCACGACGGGTCCTGCGAAACGTGCGCTCAATGTCAGGCCTCAGTAATCCCAACTCAAGATTTTCCGACCCGTCCTGGGCGCAGCGAATCTCCGGGGAGCAGCCTCAGTGCAGCAACGCAAAGACCCATTCTCGAAAGGTCACTCTCCTCGAACGCTCTGCCCATGCTTTCTCTGCAACTTCATCTCGGAGCCTGACATGACCAGCTCACCATGCTCCGTCAGGCTACATTGAACCTGGGCCCATGCTGCAGAAGTGCGTTCGCTGCAGAAAGCCCACGCACCCAGAGCAGGCAACGCACGACTCTGAAACTTAACGCATATCCGAACCAGGGCGCCCCCTCCACTTCCACAGCCTCTGCAGCCGTGGCCTCTGCTGCCGCCATGGGGGTCTCCTGGCGCAGCGCCGCCAGGGCCTCCGGAGAGTTTGCCCACTGCACTCATGGCTTCGGGCGTGGACATATTCCCCTAGAAGTATTGAGGCAGGCGGGCGTCCCCCCAAAATAGAGCACAAGTAAGGCTTGAGGTTCATGTCCGCTACTTCCCTGCAGCAGGACGCCGCCTCATCCAGATCACCGTCGCCTCGTCTCGCAGAAGCAGCTGTACAGGTCTATCCCATTGCATGCATGACGGGGCTGCTCTGGCAACATGCTGTGTCACGAGCTGCCATCCTCGCAATCGCTGACACTGTGCATGGAAGTGCGTCTCCGCAATAGGTACCCCTAAACATTCCCAAACCCTAAGGGCCCAAACTACTTCACGGGCACCGTGAGCGTCTCGCCCTTGCAAGAGACGCTTCGCCGGCCGGGTGGCTCGCGGCGAGGGCGGCCTCAGCGCGCGCCCTTTGGAAGCCGGCGCTCAACAGCTCCTCCAGCGGCCCCTCGGTTGCGGCTACCAGTCGATTTAGGACTTTGGGAAGTAGGGTTTAGGGTCTGTTTAGGGTTTAGGGTTTAGCGCTAAGGCTTAAACAGTCAACAGACCTGTGGTCGTGCGGGCCAAGGTGCGGAAACGGCTTTGGCTTCTGGCTGCGAGGGAGCATCGCAGGAGCTCTCCACCCCACTCTCTGGGGTCCTCAGAGAGCTGGATTTCTGGAACTCTCCACATTGGTAGTTTCCGAAATTCGGGCTGCCATGGGGGACCATTCTGAGCGTGCAGGTGGAGTGCAGTCAGGGGTCCCCTACTTTGGAAAATCCCCAAAATCAGACCTGAATGCCGGAACGACAGAGCCTTCTGAGGCCCAAAATCCAAGCGTCCCTGTGGTCTCCTCTGCTGCTGTATCGTCTGCCGGAGGTGCCAGGGACGACAGCCAAGATGCAGCGTCCATCACTCCGAATGGATTATACACATGCCGGACTGGACACCGAGTCGCTGGGTCGCAGCTCGAATAACTGTGGTGTTGCTCTGCCGTCCGCACATGTCTGCATAGATGCCAGTGTGCGCACATTTACGCAATTGGTTTAATAAAGTTAAGGTCAGTGATCTTAAAGAACGGTGGAAACAACCACAATGCCCAGAGCAATGCTGCTGATGTTGCGCATGCTGATAAAATGCCAAGCTGCTTCTGAAAGGTCTCTTGGTGTTGACACATCTGTGCACGTAAGTTGTTTCGACTTTACCGATACCCGTGACGTGGCTGAAAAAAGGCACTTGCTGTTCAAAGCACCTCTTGTGTGGTCTCAGAAAATCTTCACATGAAACACAAAAAACTAACTGAGGCTGCAATCACCTGTGCATGCGCTGCAACAGCCGGTGTTTTCTTCACTCGCTGGAATTTGACGCAACGTCGACGCGCTTCAGCCACCTGGGTCAGACCCATGGGTCAAAGCCCCGCGACGGCAAATGTGCACATGCACAGAGTATCACGAGCGAAGCTTCCACATGAGCTCACTTCATTGGAAACCGTATGCTGCATACCCCGAAAAACGCCTTGAAAACTCAATCCAAGAACCGGGTGCGGGACCAAGACGATTCCCCGATCCGGTGAATGGTTGGAAGTTAAACGCCTGCCATAGCCGCCAGGATCACAGGCGAAGGCTGCAAGGGGCACAAGGGCATGCAAGCGCCTTCTCGACGACTCCTGGAAGTCGTCAAGACGGCTTCACTTCAGAACAATCAAGCCCCCTGTAGCCGGCTTATCGACACTCGGGAACATTGGACACGTGACACGGTGGGGAGCAAACCTACCCCCAACCACCTCATGCCAAAGACCCTGACTCACTCAACGATACCGCCCGCACCCTGCGCCTGGGATGGGGCCTGGCCGCCCTGGCCCTGGCCGAAAGCAACATCATTCAAAATGTCCGCACATCCACCCTTGCAACCATAATCCGCCCAACCTCCCCTGGGCTGTTACCTTGGATGCCTTTCGCTTTGGTCGGGGGGCTTTTGGGACCCAGCTCCCAAGGCATCTTGAAAAAACGGTGCTTCCCCACCCCCCCCCCGTGCCAGCCAAGCTGATTTTACATGCTTCTGTCGTTTCCCCTAGTTGGTATGGAAAAGTCTGCGCGGACAAGGAGGGTGTTAGTCAAGCTTGCCCGTGGTGCGGCCACGAGTTTGGCTCTTGGAGACATGTAGCTTGGGACTGTCCTTGCAATCCCTTGCCTGTTGGTCTCTCCCCTCCTCAAAATCCGTTGACCTTCCGTTTCGGTTGGCTTGGTAAAGATGATCACAATGCTCCTCTTGCGTTGGCTCATCTGGCTGCTACTGTTGATGCCTTGTGGAAAACTAGATACGGTGACAGGTAACTCCGCTTGCCTCTCTCCTCCGTGCTCTTCTTCCTCCTTCACTCTGGTGCGGGATCCTGAAGTTTCTGTTCACGTGAGGTCCAAACACCTCACAGCTAAGGCCCTCGGGACCAAGTCTTGAGTCAGCTCCAGGCTAAGGGTCTTGAACCTGCTCCAAGCTAAGGAGCCTTGTTGCATGTGTCTTCGGGCGGAGAGGCTTCCCTGCCTCCTACCCCCTGCTAAGGATCCACAAGTCGATCCACACTGAGGCTTTTCAGCCTCCAGCTAAGGACCCGATGTTGGTCCCTTCTTTCAACTGCTGGCAGCAAACGACGCGCTCCAGCAGTACAACACTTTGGTTGGTTGGATTTTACATACCTCCGCTATTCTTCGGGGTTATAGGCTGCACCCACAGAGTTTGACTATAAACATACGAAGACTTTGTGAAGGATAGTAGTAGCTTCCGCGAGAAAACTTGGGTTTTGCTTCGGATTGGCTACTCACGGCCATTCCCAGCTACGCCGTCAGAAGCAGAGAAGGGGTCCTGTAAGCACGTCTCTACCAGCTCTAGCAGATCCGCCATTGAGGAGCCCTCGTGTTTTCCGTGCTTCGGGCACAGCAGTGGCCTCGTTCAAGCCGGACTGCTCTCCTTCCAAGGGCTTTGAGCTGAACCCTTGGAGGGGAAACTCGGGAAGAACTTTGGAGCGTCTGCATATCTGAAGACTCCGTGCAACCCGATCCCCTGCCTCCTTGTAGCGCGAAGCCGCCTCCGCCTGGGACTCCATCTGGCTGAATGCCAAGACACTGCGACCCAACGCTGCCCCCTTTGCGGATTCTGTCACGCCCCAGCGCTCTTGGAGGATGGTCGCAGAATGGCACAAGAGGCGCACTGAGACCCCAACCCATCTCGGTGCCCTCTGGAGGAGCGAGATCGCGCGCAATCTTGTACCTGGGCCACTGCTGCTTCGGCCCTTTCTGCAACCCTTAAGTCAAATTTCCGCGGTTGGCCCGGAAGCGTTGAGTTGACGGGTGCAGTCTAGCAAGCTCTGAGAGCTCTGCACTGCCCAAGCGTTGTAGGCCCCAACCTCGATGGCATTGTGACAGCATTTCTCTAACTGACATAATGAACTATAAACTCATGCTTGGAGACTCATCTCGGCACGTGAATGCAACTCTTGCCCAGTGAGAATCTGATGCATCTTTAGCCAAGGCCAACATGCAGATGGACTGAAAAGCAAGCTGAGCTCTGGTGCCCCTTGGAAGGCACAGCTCGCCACAACGAACAGGCCAAAAGGGAAGATGCCGATCTGCCATGTCGGAGCGCAACTTCTGGGCGGCTTGCATTTCCTCTGGCTTAGGGTGCTCTATCGGCGACGCAAAAAACAGACGAAGAGGCCCCCCAAAACACCGCCAGCACCACGGCCCGCATCTTCAGGATCAGGTCCAGCACGCAGTTGACTGCACATCACACACTCTTTACGCGTGTCATCGGGGCGGTCTCTGTGTCTCCTGGCACTGGAACCATATTATGTCTGTTGCCTGCTGCCCCTGAGGGCCCACAAGCCCCTTGAAACCTCTGAAACTTCTGAGCCGAGCCTAGGGAGAGCATCATGAAGGGCATGAGGCACTGGAGTCCGCCCATACCTTCCGAATACGCAGAGGAGTTGACAGCACCACCTCGGAAGCCTACATGCCCTAGAGGCCCTAGACTCTCAAACAGCTCCTCAAACTGCAAACCCCTTAGCGCATTCCCTCAACCTGGCCTTCCTGAACCCCTGAAACCCCCGCAGCTCCTACACCCCCTAAACCCCGAAGCAGCCCAGGCCTTGTGCCGCACACGTGGAGCACATGCTGGAGGCCAGGCACTGCACAGAGCTGCGCCGTGGAGGGAAGCCCATGTGGGGGCTTACGATGTTAGGGGTACCTTCTTGGGGTCCTTATGGCAAGGGGATCCTCCTATTTGGGGGTCTGTATTCAGGGTCCATGATTGTCATGAACCCCCATGTGTGTTTCAGGCTCCAGAACTCTGCAGGCTCTGGGGATTTATGGTCGAGGGTGTGGGGAGGGGGGGGTGCTTACTTGAAAGTGCGCTGCTTTTGTCCCCACCTTGCACTGCTCCAGGGCCTTATAACTGCATACGCCTCCCCCCCCCATCATGTTTTACAGACCCTTCGAGCTCGAAGACTGGAAACACGCAAAGCCTGATGCAGGGATGTAACTGGCGGGAAACGCAGCAAAGCTTCCGACCATAAACATTCTTGCTTCGATCGCCACCTCGACCCTTGAAAATTCACGGCGACAGAATTTGAAAGGCGGTCTCGCGTTGCCTCCTGTATTGCAAGTCCTGCTTGCAGCCCTGATTCAGATTTGGCTTGTCCGGCCGGTCACCGGAGCCCACCAATAGGGTCCGCCAACATGAAGCCTTTAGCGGGACCCACTGGTAAGCAGGCCAGAGAGGTTGGCAAAGGTGGGTAACTCTACCAGGGAGGCCCAGGGCAAGTGTGCCGCAATGCCAGGGGGGCAGGCGAACTGTGCCAGAACGTGTCCAGGCAGGCTGTCGCGGATAATTGCCCCAGAATACGTGCCCGCATGAAAAGACTTGGGCGGGCAAGCCAGAAAACTCACCAGTCCATTATAGGGGGGTTGCCAAAGTTTCGGTACTGTCCGGGACACCGCCCGCCTGTTGACCTGTTGTCCTGGGCACCTGATGCAGGCCCCTATATACTGAAAACCTAACGGCTCCTGATCGGGTGGGGAAATAAAAAAACGGCACGAGAAACGGACAAAAGTCACCACAAACTGCCCCAGCACAGAGACCTGGTAGACGCTGGCGAATCGTTCATCTTCCTGAGGCGCCAGGCACTGCCAGCAGAATCTCATGATCTCTCTGCCGAACACGAAAAAATCACAAGGGCGGCGCTTTGAAGAGAAAGGTGCCAGCGGAGAAGGCGATGAAGACGTTGAGGAGGGCGAAGAAGTCTACCCTTAATGTAGCACAATCTACTTCGAAGAGCAGGAAGAGGTGCTGCACGACCCTAGCAACTCATCTCTCCAACCTCTGACTGTTCGGAGTGACCTTTCTGAGGCTTCCGGCCAAAGCAGTCCTTGCATCAGAGCACACAGCAGACGTCCCAGACCAGTGACGGCCATACCCTGGCACAGCTGAAGCATAAAGACACTTCTGAGCGCTCGCCTCTCGACTTGGTCAAGCACAAGAGACACTCACCAACGCGCCAGAGCAGACCATCAGGGCATATTTCATTCTCTTCGTGGCCTGGGCAACGACGTGAGGCAAAAGCCAACACCAAGTTGCTTTTTCTGGGTGGGAAGTGCTGGTTTGGACGATGCAGCTGTGAGGGGATCGTAACATCTGGCAAGAAAACCCTCAACCCTCAAGCTGTAGCTATAACTCCAAGCTCTGCAAGAACTCTGCAAGGGGCATGGAGCTTATGCTCGTTTGGCAGACCCTGCCACCTGAGCCTTTTCTCGACGACCAACATATTTCTAAGAAAAGAGTTCTGCTGGCAGGACTCCCTTGGCCTGAGCCAAGATCGTCGGTGCCTGATGTCGCGCCTGTTTATGTGTGCTGCACCATGCCTGCCCTAGCTGAGAGCACAAGCACACACGCAAAGACCCGCATCTTGCAACCCAAGACAGCACTGGGTTGCCAGCGTGCTCTGCCTGTGGTGGGATTGGCCCCGAGAGTTGCGGCCTGAGCAAGGTAGCCGCCCCAAGCGCTCGGCGACTTGCGCTGGTGCGCACTGACTGTCCGGCCTTTGGGCCCATCTAAGCCCTGGGCGTTTGCATAGGAATCACCATCCTGAAAAGTTCTCCAGGGGCTCACGCCTTGCAGCCAGGCTCGCAATCCTATGCTACAGAAAGCAGGCGCAAGGAGACCTGATGCCCCTAAAAAGTCAGATCCGAATGGTGCTCCCTTGTCTTCGTTTCGCAAAGGGGTGCTTCAGTAAGGGTTCAATCACCACAAGCATCGGCATTCGTCCTTGAAAAACGAGCAAAGCGGCCTTGGCTGCGGAGTTACGTCAAGCCTTCCGGAGGAAACCGACTACTGTGTTGTTGAGACACAGTGCAATGTGTCTAGCTGTGGGGTTTATCCTGGTGTTCGGTCCTCGCTGTCTAGAATTTCCTGGCGGCCACAGTGGCGGAAGTTAAGAGGTACGGCGTGCTTAGTCTGGGTTGTGTTCGGTGCTGAAAGAGATGGATGCATCACTTGTGCTTTGAGCCATGTCTGCAGACTCGCAGAGCAACACGTGGCAACACTCAATTTGACCGAGATTGCCCACAAGAGCTTGGCATAGCTTTGAAAAGTGGTGCGTGTCACGGGCGCTTTAGAATCAGTCCAGTTTCGGCCAAGCAAAGCCCACGATTCTCACGTATTTCAGGCACGACTAGAGACGGCATGGTCTTGTCAAGATCAGATGACATCTTGTAATGCAGAAACATGCAAGCGCGACTGTTTCTCAGCGCTCGAAATCCCTCACAGCTGCATCTGTTCTGTTCGGCAGCGGCCATGGTGAGGTACAGCTCTTGCACATGTGCCAATACCTGTTTGCTGCCAGGCTCTTCCCTGCACCCAGCCTTAATGAGCACTTTAACCTCTTGAACCCCTACTGTACATCCCAAAGGCCTGAGCCCCTGCACCCAAATTAGACCCTGAAGTCCATACGGTTCCTGGAGAGACGGTGGTGTTTGGAAGTACCCAGGAGTGGTGGCAGTGGTGGAGCCTACCAGTGTTTTCTAGGAGGCCTAGGGCCCAGGATTTGAGGCTCCGGGTTCGCAGAAGGATGAGGGTTATGTCATATCAGAACGACATCTTCCCCATCTTGCCTATTCTCTGGGCTCCTAAGTCATCAATCATTCGCTTGGCCACTGTCCACAGCTATGTGCAAAGGGCGATGCCCGGGGACATGTGGATGCCCGTCGCAATTCACTCTGCGAGACTGAACGGCAGAGTCTAAGAGCAAAGGGTGTCTAAACAAGCAACCCTCAGTGTGAACCCTAAACCAGGCTGCAAAGCTAGGGGTATGTCAAGGTCGTAAGGCAGTACGGGCATCCAAGAATCATCTTGGAGCCTCACGGCATCAGCATGACCTCGCCAGGCGCTGCACGTGTAGTATTGCCGAAGCCGCAGCACTCCATACTGTCGAAACACGTGCGAGAGCATCTGTTCGTTCAGGTCGCTTATGCCTTTCAATTGCCAACTGTTGGCCTAGGCCTTCTCAGAACCATTGCTCAGACTGCCGACCTTGTCTCGGCGGCGCTTCATGCTGGTTTGACAGTGACCTGAGCTGGAGCAGGTGCGAGGGGGAGATCAGCAAGCGCCTCGACATGAACACTCCTCATGCGCGGTGAGTACCATGTGCACAGATTTCGTGCCTGACCCCGCTATGCCTTAGCTGCGCACGGCGGCGTTCAGCAATCCGGCGTCCTTGAGGGTGAGCTGGTCGTCCGCGATGGGCTGGCAAGTCCGCCGAAATCTTGAATTGCAACCGAGTAGATTCATCAGCTTGGGCTTGGGGCAGTCGCCAACTATCGGCACGTCTTTGGATGAAAGCTGAAGCTACTTTGGCCACAGCCATGCTCAGGACGACCGTCAAGCTTCGACCCGTACCCTTCCAGCCATCCAGCGGCTTGCTCGCCTTGGGTGGGAAACCGCCCATGATGGTCATCGCCTCCAACCAGCACAACCATGACGCAAGCTTAGACTTGAAGGTCCACTTTTTATCGGCTCATTCGTGCGTCGAAGGGTTTTTGAGTTATGAACGAGCTGACTGCAATATCCTTCCAGGATAACTTGCCGAATCAAGTGAAGGAAGGAATGAGTGTTGGGACTGGTGACAATACGACTAGTTGTAACTTTTCCTAGCTTCCGTATAAGCCTAATAACGACTTCCCGTGAACCTCTAAGTGCTGTAGCCATGCGCACTGGCAGACCTCCTATGCCAACACACACAAGGTTGGCATGTCCTTGGATGAGCTCACAAACCCTAGGCCGGTAAACGGTTTAAGGTTTATGGACGGTGCAGAATAGGACCGAAGCTGGACGAAGCATTCACTCGAGCCCAACGTGCCTGCCCACCGACACATTGGGCGCAAAATGCCCGGAGGTCGCCAACTGTATGGTCCTTCGCAAAACGAGTCTGTGTTCTTTGTGTCTCCGACTCGAGGATTTTGTCAGCCGGTTTGGGTTCGTCCGCCCCTTTTCGGCAGGCTTTGTACAGGGAATCCTGCTGATACATGTACATATACATGTATATGTGTATATATATATATATACACATATATATATATATATACACATACGTAAGTACATACGTACGTACCTACATACGTACATACGTACATACGTACATACGTACATACGTACATACGTACATACGTACATACGTACATACGTACATACGTACATACGTACATACATACACACATACATACATACATACATACATACATACATACATACATACATACATACAACGCTCTCTAAAGAGTGTTTACAAGTACTACAAGATTCCTAGTATACCACATGTACACCTGAATCCTGAGAGCTGTTGCGCCCGGGGCCTCGTTGAACTCCTGGGCTTTTCGCGTGCCGTCGTGGAAACGGATCTGGATCTTGGTCTTGGGTTTTGCAGCATCCACCTTGGAGCAGCGCTTACAAGGAACCCGACACAAGTCCCGCAGAAGCCCTGGGTCCGTTTATTAGAATTTTGTTAACAGCAGGGGGTCTGAGCACGTCTGGGGAGAAGTTGTTTCTGGCATCTGCATCTTTCCCGACCCCGAGACATGTGCCGATCCACAGGACACGCGACAGGATTGGATCTAAGGCGGGGCCAGCTAGCGGCTAGGGGGTGGCGACTGAAGCCGTGTCAGTTGAGAGCTCTTTTCTGTTCGCAGGTGCATCCGCTGCGGAGCAGCAACGACGAGAGCAAAAGCAACATTCTCTGTACACAATGAGCTTCCGTGCGAGCCAAGAAAGCCGACCTAAAGAGTTGTGGATGCTCCGTGAGCCGCCTGACAGCAGAGCAAAGCGTGGGCAAATCTCAAGATTCCGAAGAGTCCATGAATGACTGGCACGTGCGATGACAGGATCATATGACTTGCTTTGAATCGACTCCGCCATGACATCGAAGCGTGTCGCAATGTGTTGCCTGCTTGGTTCTGGAGCACCCTGGCTTTCTGAAGCTCAGGACTTTCCGGAAGAGGACCTCAATGATGAAATTGAAAGCTCCCTAAAGCCAGGGCTTCTGTGTTTGTGGAGCTCGGCACCAGGCGGATACTTCCACTCTTCGAGGGGCGCATAGGACATGGATTCGTACAGCTCCTTGCCTCACAGTCCAAGAGGACCCAGGGCTTAACAGGCAGTCCAGGGCTTAGTGCTTATCGGGGATAATTCAGAATTTAGAAAGAGTGAGGGTGTATCTCGGGTTTTGGCCCTTGGGTCCCTGGGGCTTCTTGGGGACCTTGGGGCATGACCAAGTCCAGGGTCCCCACGTGTCTGCATCCGGGGCAAGAACGACTCAAGGCTGCCGGTGTCCTGCGAAGATGGAGGTCTCCCAACCCATCCAATCAAAGCTCTTGAACAGGGAGCACGGGGTGAGTCATACGTCTTGAAGTGCGCTTGTCTTGCATCCGCAACCCTTCCCGGACGTTGTCCTTCAGAGTTTGAAGGCATTCGTCGACCCCTTTCCTGAGAGTGGGCATAGTGGTAAGTCGCTCTGCAGAACAAACACGTGCTGCACGCATCGGTACTGATGTCAGCGTGTAAATTCTCCAGGCCGTAGGGCCCTTGAATTGAATCTCGGGGCCCAGCATGGCGGCCCTCAGAGTGCTCACGGGGTAGATGACACAGTGGTAACCTCAGCTGCTGCCTACGATGTAAGGAGGCCAACGGCCACCCGAGGGTTTGAGCTGACCTTCATGCTGATTTCGCCACAGAGCTGAGGAGCCTGCCTAATCCCTGGAATTCCTTTAGTGTGAGGTAGGGCGTCTTCCCAAACCTCGGTGCTGCCCACATCACTGCTGCAACTTATCAACTTGCTCCCGAATGCGTAGCGGGAAGTGAGTTTGAGGTCTGGCTGTCAAGCTGGTCACACAGACAAGCTCGTGCTTTGTCTAAGCTTTGTGTCCGAAAGCGTGTGCAAAGCGATCTTGAGCGATGCTGTGCGGAATGTGGGGCCCGTTTTTTCCATGACGCCAAGACTTTCGGCAGGCGCGCAAGCAAGGTGTAACCAGCCATGAACGGACGGACTGCTCAGACTCCCTCTGAAACCCTCGAAGCTGCAACGGTACCTGCTTCGACACGAACCAGTTGAGGCGATCGCTCCGTCATGTTGGCCAGCAGGAAAGGTCCTCCGTCGGGTGCTGGACCTTTCCTCAGCAGCATGTGACCGCATTCCCAGAAAGCGGCAGAGAGTCGTGGCCTTTTGCACGGAGCGTCGGAGCACCGCAGGACCGCAAGTACGGAAACGACAGAAACACGGCTGGGAGTCGGGCAACTTTTTCATGGCGATGGCAAAGCTACGGAAATCCTCCTGCGGAGAAGTTGGTGATTGTGCTGCAGGTGCTCGAGTGCGAAACTGCAAGGAGCCCTGAAGAACCTAGCACTCGCCTCGGACTGCAAACCTTCAGGGAAGATCATGTCAGCTCCGGCTGCGACGTAGGCCGTGGCCTCATACATCACAGGGCTGGGCGCCCACTTCGCCCCACTCGGCAATAAGTAGTCTGCCGATACAGTCTGCAATTCTCCACGCTGCAAACTTCATCGCTGCCAATAAACGCTGCAGCTCTGTCGTGCGAGCAGAGGTATCTTGTCTTTCAACCATCCAGCTGAGGCTTGCACACGCTCGATGGCTTTCTGCAATCCTTCGCCAGGCCTCAGTCACCAAGTCCACAAAATTGTCGCTGCGTCGCTGTTCTTTGATGGAGTGCAAAATGCCTGCAAAATGCCAAACCTGCACGACAAACGCTTCTATTGAACTCCAAGGTCCAGGCACTCCAGCTGCATCCGTCCGCGCGCAGATTATGAATTCGCCATTTGAGCATCTCTGCCTTGAGACCGACTATTCATGCCAGCAAGCTCGCTCTGCCGCTCTGCTACCAAGCCATGCAAAGACCGCTAGGATGAGGCTTGTGCGCAGCTTCTGCCGCGCGCTCGACCTTCTCCACAAAGACATCCTGAGAACACTTGGGAACTGATGCCTCTGAGCTGCAAGTACCGACAAGGGCAATACAAGAAGCCGACCCACACCTCACAGCTGTCCGACATCACTTGCAAACGAATCAGCAGCTGCCTCCCCCCCCCCCAGAGCTCGTTTAGCTTAGGCCGCAAGGAGCCCACAATGGGGGCTCCTGAAACCCCTGAAGCCCCTGAGGCCTCCACACATTGTTAATTTTAAATCTGGTAATGTTGGTACAATACCAAGGCTTGAAGGCAACCGCTGAGGCGGCAGCGACGGGGACCAAGGCTTTACCGTCGAGGTGGCCGCAGCGCTTGGGGAAGACCTACAACAGCTCTTGGGAGTTCGGGCGGTTTAGCTTGGCTTAAGGCCTTTAAGGCCTACAAGACAGTACACCACCGAAGACCCCAAACAGTCAAAGGCACGTCAAAGAAACAGTGGAGACGACGGGAGACAAAGGGAGACAAAGGGAGACAAAGGGAGACGAAGGGAGACAAAGGGAGGCGAGGAGCACAGCAAAGGCAAAGCCACCCACATGAAGGGAGACAAAGGGAGACAAAGAGAGACAAAGGGCGACAAAGGGAGACAAAGGGAGACAAAGGGAGACACAGGGAGACAAGGAGCCCCGGAGCCCGGAGCCCGGCAACAGTCCTCAGAATCGGCAATCCTTAAATGAATTTGGAACCCCAACAGTAGACTGTTTGGGGAAATATAGGGCTTAGGGGCAAGTTGCGGCAACAAAGGGACCGACACCAACCTCTCAGTTCAAGCAATTGGCGAGCTCCTAAGCCCCTTCAGCCCCAAGCCTCAGCAACAAAAGCTTTTTCAAAGCAGCACAACCCTTCCAAGCGCCAAAGCCAAAAAAAACATACCCACAAGAGCTAAACTGCAAATGCACACATACAACTATAGACCCGGATACCCCCAAAACCTGCACAACAAACCCTATAAGTGCTTCTCCAAAGCCTCTCTGTTGCAATCTTTCCCGCCTGGTCCTCGATGTGTAGCCCGGCAGCTCCTGCCTAAAGGGTGATGTAGGGTTTAGGAATTAGGAATGCTTGATTTGAACAGATAGAACGGCCAGGACATAGGCCAGGGAGCCATCACACAATACATTCAAGGAAAGGAATCACAAGCAATCTGTCGTGCATTCGGGGTTCAGGAAAGCCCACATCCCAGGACTCAGCTGGAACGATCTGGGATCCCGGCCCAGCAGTACTCCTCCACCGTCTTGCGAACCATCTCAGCCTACAAGAGAGATAAGATCGGGAACTCAGAGAGTGAGCTTGGCTTGTGATCAGCCCCCCTGCAATGCCTCGCCAAAGCCGGTGTCAGCATCGGCGATGAAAGGGAGGTTCGACACTGAGACGACCTCTTTAATCCTGCGGAGTTCCAGCTCTCTACTCTTCTCCTCTTCAGCTACATAGGAGAAGGAGGGGATGGGGTGGTGCGCTCTTCAATTCTCAGAATGCCTTGAACTCGGGTCCTGGATGAGAACTGATCCAAGGAAGTCAGACCTGAAAGTCGCGACAAACTGTAGGCCATGGACCATAGACATTCGCACCCAGATCTCACTTGACACCCTCAAGCCGCAAGAGCTACAGAGGAACAGAGCCTCTCTAACTAGCTACCGAGTCCACCCGTTACGAACGCACCAAAAGAGTCAGCAGCAGAGGCTGGATTGACAAGCCTACTCCAGACCAGAGAGAGAGAGAGAGAGAGAGAGAGACAGAGACAGAGACAGAGACAGAGACAGAGACAGAGACAGAGACAGAGACAGAGACAGAGACGGAGACGGAGACGGAGACGGAGACGGAGACAGAGACAGAGACAGAGACAGAGACAGAGACAGAGACAGAGACAGAGACAGAGAGAGAAGTAAGTGCACATTGGTTAGTGCGCAGTTAGATTGCGCTTGCTGCATGGTTGAAACTAATCACTGACTGACGATAAACCCTGAACCCTAAACCCTAAACCCCAAACCCTAAACCCTAAAACCTGGGGCGCAGGCCGATGTCTGGAATTCCCGAACTGGCGGACAGGGCCCCGCCCGAAAAGTAGGCTCCTGCAGCTGGTGCTGGAGTCATGCACAGGGAGAGAAACACCTGGGTTTAGGGTTTAGGGTTTAGGGTTTAGGGTTTAGGGTTTAGGGTTTAGGGTTTAGGGTTTAGGGCCGATCTACGACAAGCAATCTACAGACAATGCTAGTTCGCAAGATGCTCGGCTCAGTCATAATATCAGCGAAATCTCCCTCTCCAGGAAATTGTCGACTTCAACGTGGCTCACGAGGCTCCCCTTCCCCCCCTTCGCCTTTGAACCCGTGGATCGCCACGAGGCGCGCCACGAGGCCATTGTAGGCACCTGGACAGCCGGAGATGAAGCGCCCACGAAGTACCGCTGAATGCCATGAAGTGCCGTTTAAGAACCATGACGTACCGTTAAAAATGCCATGAGGTGCTATTGAAGAACCATGAAGTACAAGCTTACAAGGAAGCCCCCCACGAGTTACCACGATCTGCTCTCAGTTTCCGACCCGGGAGGGCCACGCATTCCTTGGCCTTAGGAAATTGCCGGCGAAGGGTTGGTCTCACGCATGGGGCGGCTTTGGCTCCCCGAAGCGATCTCCTGGACCCTGACAGAAGCATGGTTCACAACATATCTACTCTACCATCCAGCCCGTCCCCCCTGATTTAGAACAGCCCTCCAATCTCCAATTCAGGGCCCAGCCATCAGCGCGCGTAGCTGGGAGCCCATCGCCCGGCCGAGAACCATGGTGCTCACACCTCACGGCAATTACCGCGAAAACCACCAACAATGCGCTCTCAGACAGGCCAAAGTTCGAGTTAATATGACCTTCAGCACGTTATTCACGCCAGTCGCGTGGCTTGCAAGGCTCCTCAGGCCCACGCGCTGCTAGTGTAGCGGCACAGGCAACGGGAATGGCCCTCTGCAATCTGTGCGTGATCTGACATAGAGGAATGGTTATCGGCGGCTTGGGACTGAAGGGGGAGCTGTGCTGGCTGGTAGGACTGGTAAGTGGCTGAGAACCTTTCGTTGCTTGCATGAAGTCTCACATCATCAAGGGGCACATATTTGAGCCAAAGCTTTAGAAAAAATGCCAACCACGGTGCACTGTCTCGGAAGTCTGCGTGTTCGGGAACAGCATGAACGATGGAATATGACATGAAGGGTCTTGCTGTCATGTTGATAGGGGAACAGGATGAACTTGCTCATGTTCAGCGCAGTGTCTTCAAGGTGCGTTTATCTGAGCCTGCCACAGTCATGGATGCTTTGTCCGCCTGCAAGGCCGGCGCCACAAGGCGTGCAAACCGAACCCCTCTGAAGATGGAGGGAAGCTCAAAACTGGCGGAGAGGCATCGTCAGCCCATGCTTCTCTTACGGGTCCCCTCTTTGAATGTCGCAATGCACAAGGCTCCCGACATTTGTACGAGCTGCGACTGGATGCTGGAACCAGAGCGAGTTAGATACTCAAGGCCCACTGTCCAGTGTGTACTCTCCAAGCCTCGACGGCGGCTGCTGCAGAGGATGAACTGCCGCCCAGGGTGTTGCCCTGAGAAAAGCAGACAAGGGGATGACAAACGGCTCTTTGTGAAGACCTGAACCAAGGATAACCTAGTACCGATCAGCATACTCACCAAACTTCCCCCACGCAGACCTTCCTGCCCAAGCTTCAACCCGCAAACAGAAATCTCCCACGCGTTTCTGCTGATCGAGGGGGGTCTGTAACCCCGCCATGTCTTGAACACTTGTACCCACGACAACCTGCATCCGACACCCCGTCAAAAAAAAAAGAGTTGGACCCCACGACAAAAAAAAACAAAAAAAAAAAAGAAAAAAAAACGACAAGCAAATGCTGAACAGGGCTTGCAAGCTGTATTGGCTTTGGGCGTTGGAGGTAGATGGAAGCGGCCTTTCGGCTTGGTCTGGTTTGGGGCTTGGAATCTCACAGATCATGCTGGAATGGCCTGATTGGACCGAAAAACGGCTAGAGAATCCGGTTTTTGGAGCTGTTGGGGCCTCTAAGGCTTGAAAAGCGGATTCTCGGGCTGATGCTTCCTCCTACTCCTCCCAGTCTGTCGTGCCGTCGTGATTACAAGAAGTCTGTCGGGGGTACACCTAAACCCCATGTTTCTTGTCACAGGGTCTCAAAAACCTGTCTTCTGCTGATCTCTTGAGACTTGTGCGATGCAGCAGGTGAGGATCAACTTGTTGGCGGTTGTGAAGCTGAAAAAAGCCGAATTCGATACCTCGAAAGACCCAAGCGGTCGCATTTTGCTTTCCGATCGCCTCGCCGGAGAATGCCACGTAGGAGGGAGGTGGGGGCTCCTGCAGTGCCCCGACGTCACAGGCTCATCCATCTCTTCCAAAAAAAGCAGACCATGGAATAGCAATGCACAGCATCATGAGCAATCATGCGTCCTTGTAGTCTTCACCGCGCTTGTCGTGCACTGCAACATGCACCGGCTGGTCTGATCCTGCCTGTGCAGGGATCTGCGAACATCAAGTCATGGACGTGGACATGCACTGCAGAGTCGTGAAACTGGAGGTGGTCGCATAGTGCGCAACCCCCTAGCAGAACCTGCTCCCGAATCTCCCGTCACATGCACAAGATCTTGCGACTGCCAACTTAATGTTGTTGCGGAAAACCTTCGCGGACCCTTCTCCCAGTCAAACTAGGCGCTTGTTTACGTCAAACTGTCGGCCTGCAATTCGGCCGGGCAGCGCCCAGCAGCCATCTCGTCCTCTCCGAGTACTACGGATTGCCATTCATCGCAAGACGCACGCGGACTGCAACTAATGGCACCATGCTGTCATCAGCAGCTCCACGATCAGAGGCAACTAGTATAGGGGCCACAAGGCCTTTTCAGCGAAAACTGGAATTATGTTGGGCAGCTTCCAGTCAAACATCTGCCGGCAACATGGGGATAATGCTGGTACATGTTTAGGCTCGGTTCAGGGTTTAGGGCTTAAGGTTTAGGGTTCGGATCAAGCCTGATCGCGCGGAATGACAAGAACAAGATTAACAACAACTACAACAAAAGTGACAGCGACCGACCGACAAAGACAAAGACAACAACGAACGAAGACGACGACGACGACGATGAGGATGAAAGCCCTCAACTACTCCGACCGCCTCGCTCAACATCATTGCCAGAAGACCGCCTGGCAACAACAAACCGCCATGGCTCTCCTTTCAAAGGCCTTCCCTACCACGCAGCCGGCGCCAGACTGCCAACAGTCGACCGTTGCCACCCCCAACGGACGCATTAGCCCACTTGCTCCGCTGTCATACGCTTCGGCCCTGAAACGTGTTGGCCCAAAGGGTGGCAAGACTACTGTCGCACCAAAGTATGCGTTGCCCCACACCCGGCCAACGGTGTGAGAGGATACTGGATGCGCTGAGCGCACCGGGCCTGGCGTCCTCTTTGGGTAGGGCGGTGGCGACAATGAGAAGCGAAGCACTTTCGCATGATAAACCTTTCATCGTAAGACGCACACAACCTGCAACTAATGGTACTTCACCCGCTCCATGAACTTCTTGTTCAAAGGATCGGAAAGAGGTCGAAAAGGTCCGTCACCAACCTTGGGATACGGCCACCACAGCCACCCACAGCCCCAAGACGGAAGACCAAACGACACCTTTGACAAGCCTCAGATGCCCTAAACCCCTAAACCCCTACACCCCTAAACCCCTAAACCCCTAAACCCCTACACCCCGAAACCCCTAAACCCCTAAACCCCTAAACCCCTAAACCCCTAAACCCCTAAACCCTAAACCCCTACACCCCTAAACCCCTACACCCCGAAACCCCTAAACCCCTAAACCCCTAAACCCCTAAACCCCTAAACCCCTAAACCCCTTTAGTTGGCTCAGACCCTGGCTGTGAAGCCGTTGCGGTAGACGGTGACTTCTCGATGCCCATCAGGCAGCGGGCCTGTTTCACCCCGTGGTTTAGGGTTTAGGGTTTAGGGTTTCGGGCTTCGGGTTTAGGGTTTAGGGTTTAGGGTCAGGGTTTTGGGTTTAGGGTTTTAGGGTTTAGACATAGAGGACTACTCTGCAGTACGTACTCCGAATTACCTGTTCTGGTTCTGCTCGCCACTAAGCTTCGCCTGGCGCGCCGCCGCCGCCGGCCCCTGCGAGCTCCTGCATGCCTTGGGAAAACACATCTCAGTTGCGTTGTTGCGCTTTGCTTCGACTCCCGTAACCAGAACTTCCCCCACCTTCCCTTACAGCATATCAGGGGAAGATGCCGGGGTGAAGGGTAATAAGTCTCGAAGTCGAGCTGCGCTGGAAGTGGTCCTTGTTCGAGTCCGGGTGCTCCACGGCCAAGCCACTGGAAGGGAGTGCACAACTTCACACATGCGGCTGATGCTATCCATGCTTTGTGAGAGGCGCGCAGTTGCGCTGTGCCAAGTCAGAAGAGCCGAGACAAGATGCTCCGGCCTCTTATCGCCGCCCACGTAACTGTTGGTGTTTTTCTTGTCTTCCTCTTCCTGAAGGACAACACAGCATGACTTCATATAAGGGCTATCAGCATCTCGTGACTCGGAACTGCACGCGGGGCCGAGTCCGTCCTTCTTCCGCAACTCTTCCAAGGAGCCAAAACGAGACATCCCTGGCAGCAAGTAGCAGCTGCTCCCGGCGGAGTCTGAGGAGAAAGAGCTGAACGACTAGTCAAAACATTTCGCCGGTAACCTACCACTCGCCAGCTTGTAGTGGAACGAGCTGTGCCAAGGGAGCTTTTGACTCAAGGCTTGGTGAAGACGAGCGTTGCTTGCATGTCGGGGGCTGGAAGGTTTCAGTGGCGGCTTCAAAGGAGCTTTGAGATGAGCACAAAGGAGCTCTGCAAAGCAAATCTTCCTGCTCACGAGCAGCACCGGAAGCGAGCAACCAAGCAACAAAACCACGATAACATGTCACAGAATAAGGCCCCGCCTTTCCGATGTCCTCTCCGAAATGCTGTGCAGGGATTTAGTAACTTCTGCTTGAAGCCGAAATCGAAGGCGGCGTACAAGAGAACATCAAGTCTCACTTTGAGGCTCCAGCTTCTTTGCAATTCCTGGAACTCTACAATCTCTGCAAGCTCTGCTCAGCTGGATCAGGCATGGAGGCCGGCACAAGAAGCCCCGAGGCCGGGAACAGAGCACATAGTGGAAAACTCTAAGCTCTTTAAGATCTTTCTTTATTACGGTGAAGTTACGCAGCGATGCATATCTCAGCACTGAGCCAAGACGCCGAGAGCCCGCGACAGTCGTTGTGGAACGAACGCAAGGGAAGCCCTTGAGAACTTGAGGGCCAATCACATATTGGCCCATATAACACAGCAGCCTAGAGCTGAAGGACAGGCGTGAAAGAAGAGGCTCGGGCAGACTCGACATCGCTGAGCTCAAATTCAGTGAAACCGCAGCAAGCGAGGTCTGTGGGGCCGGTTTCGCATCTTGCGACCAGCTCACGCAGACCCCTCGCTTCTTGGTGCGCCCCCTTTCTATGTTGAGCTTTGTCGCTCTAAACCCTGAGCCCCAGCCGTGTGGAATTTGTCTACTAGCAGATTGAACTTCGGTTGGGTGCCGTTGCACCAGGCAGCACCGGTAGCTGTTGAGAAGCATTATGCGATGCTCCTCCGTCTCGTCTAAGCGCGCTTAAACGAGGCTTGCGATGTACAGTTGGACTACGGAGAGAGGCCAAACATACCACTTCCTCCAAGGAGGCCCTTGCACTGCAACGTCTCTTCCGGGAACTCTCAGCGAAGCAGTGTCAAATAAACTGCTTGTCTTGACTGTAGAGGGCGAGAGAAACGAGTTTGGATACTATTAGAAACTGTTTACACAAATTACAAAACCACACCCCAACCCATAACTTGGTGTGTCGGCCTCTCTCAGCGACCCAAAGCAACACCCGCTTCTTGGAAGCGTCCCAGGAAGCCTGCAAGACAAGCGTCAGCTTAGAAGGCGAGCTGATCTACTGGGTTCCAGCTCTCAACTGAGATGCGCAAGTCTGCAGTCAGGAAGTGCTTTGAATGTGCCACGCAATCCCCAGACCGAAGCACTTCCCAGGCACCTCGTTGGCATGCCCGCGCTCTGACCAGCTGGACTGGCCTGGTGTCGAGGTGGCTACATGTTCGGCCACAGAGCAAAGACACCGGTCACCAGTGTCAGACTCAACGAAGTCAAGCGGCCTTCATCGTAGCTGCAGAGCGTCCATGCGGTGAGATAATGTGGCCCCTCAGGCGCCCTCCTGCACGGGGGGGTCGTCCGTTTAACTGTGGAGGAACTCGGGACCATGCCAAGAGCGGATCCACACAGGCGACGTGGAGGTCCTCGGGCACTGCTTCTGCACCTTCGGTCGCTCCTGTGAGTAGGCAGCGTATTGCTTGGCATGCCGGCTTGGAGGCTGTCGCAACTGGCCTAAAGGCCCCATACTACCCATACTACCTTTCAAACGTCTCGCACCCGAGCCTGCGTCCACCACTTCCCCGGGCACTCCGATCCGGAAGCTCTCCAACACGATCTTCGGCTCACCCTCCTCGCCTTACATGCTCTCCACTCATCATGCAAGAACAAGCAGAATGAAGCCTCCAGCTGCTCTGTAACTCCACAAGTGTCACCACAGTAGAAGCATCTGATCGGGTCAAACCCCTGTACGGAGCAAGGATCGCCCCGCTCGGGCTCACGGGCTACCGGTTCAGTGCCGGATGCGCGTCAACCATCAACATGAGCGTTGGGGCCTTGCCTTCAGGTGGCGGCACCGAGATGGGCTTGCCAATCAGCTTCATGCCCTCCTCCTTTTCTGCCGCGAACCTGAGGAAGGCACAACATCCCAGAGACCTGCAACTTGAAATCTGGACCTGGGAGCAACGATATGCCTCACAAAATCCGAATCAGCGTCTGCAGCTTCGCCCTACCGATGTTGCAGCAGACTTGCAGCATGCCGGGCCGCACACATCTCCTGAAGGCCTGGAAGTTGCTCCTGAACGCAGACAACCCCAGGTCTAGGGTTTAGGGTTTAGGGTTTAGGGTTTAGGGTTTAGGGTTTAGGGTTTAGGGTTTAGGGTCTGCTCCTGAACGCTACGCCTGAACCCACCGCGGCCCTGAACGCCCGGCAGTCCTCCGTGATGGAGGCCACCGTTCCATCCTCCAGCGCCTGAGTAGTGGAGTCTCGAGTCTCGAACTTCGCTCGAAACTTAGACTCGAGTGGTTCCACAAAGCGTTGGCCGATGTCCTTCGTATTGCCTCTGAAACGACCCAACCTAAGAGCTTTTGGGTAAGGAGGGCGTATTGCCATCCGATATACCGAACAAAGCTGTGACTGCGGATGTGTGTGTGTGTGTCCAATGACTACACGCCTACACTAGCTGAGCTCCCGTGCGACGAGAAATTCCTCCGCGCGGATCTCCAGGACTTCAAACTGCACAGCAAAAGCACGAGCTCTGCGTGGTCTTGGCTGTCGAGATCTGAGGTCTGCTAGGCAAGCTACCCCGTTTAACTGACCGCTCTGTTGCCGATAGACAGGTCAGCACATGCCAGCACACCCTGGCTACTGATCAATCAATAACCTGCAGTGGCTTTACCAAGCTCGTCCTCCTCCGGCACGGGAGGTGGGTCCGGGATGAATGCTTCCCACTCCATCATCATTTGCCTGGGCTCACGCCACTACAAGGCCTAAAGGGTTTGTAGCGTGGCCTGCATTTCTTCGTGAATGCTGCTTTCTTGCGTGGAACTGCCCATCAGGTCCATTGAGACACACCGACAAAGGGTAGATCTTCCGCGCATGTTCCGTCCCCGTCGCCCCCATGGCGCCTCCAATAAACATCCTGGGGCCATATAGACACATGTACATACACTATACATATTATGCGTATACTATGCACATAGTATACATACCCTGAACCCTAAACCCTAAACCCTAAACCCTAAACCCTACTTAGTAGCTTCCATGGTAAGGGCACTCCCGGGTTGCGTGCTGCTGCTGCTTGATGAGCTCGGCTTCCGCCTGCTTCTTTGCCAGAGCCTGAGAGGGCCAGTGCTAGGTGTAATTCGGAGTGCTTAGGGTTTAGGGTTTAGGGTTTAAGGTTTAGGGTTTAGGGTCTAGGGTCTCGGGTTCACTCTTTGCGGTTTAGGGTTTAGGGGGTGCTTACAGAAGAGTGGGGGTCTTTTGCAGGGCATGGGCAGAGCATAACCTTCTCGGTGCGTATCGTCGCCCTGTCCCTCTTTGCGCCTCCTGCTTCTCTTCTCGTGCCTGATAACAGTCAGGGATGGGTTTAGGGTTTAGGGCTTAGGGCTTAGGGCTTAGGGCTTAGGGTTTAGGGTTTAGGGTTTAGGGTTTAGGGTTTAGGGTACGAGTATGGCATTTGAGATTGAGCTGAGCAGGCTCTGATATGCAGCTTCGGAGTTGTGCAAGCTACACATGGGAAGGCAACTACATGTCGAACACACTGTGAGCAGCAGGACTGTTGAAAAGGTACCAGTCGGACTGCATCCAAATGACCAGGAATCCCCAATCCTGGGGCCCCTTCCCCCCCGCGACCTGGCGCTCGGCTTCGTCGATAAGCGCAAGACGGCGGCGCTCGATTTCGAGGACCGCGCTATGCTTCTCAAGCCTCAAACACCACAGGGGTTTTGGCGTTCTCCCAGAAAGGTTCAAGGCTCATAATTTCAGGTTCAGGGGAATCAACGCTGACAGCGGACAGTGCGTTGTCAGGCTCGGGTGCAGAGCTCAGCCTACGCAAATCTGAAACGGAGCTAACAACAGCAGTTGCCGACAGGGCATGCCAAGGACAGAAGCACCTCATTCCAGCAGCAATTGCAGCAAAGCTGGGCTTTAAGATGTCTGCCGCGAACCCCTCCCTTATGTTAAACAAACTTATAACCCCTTAAGCGCCACCCTAAACCCCAAACCCTAAACCCTGCATCCTAAACCCTAAACCCTAAGAACCCCTCAAGGGGAGAGGCGGGGGGAGCCACAAAAGCTCCTCGAATCGCAGAACGCGACATGCCCAGGCGCAGGCTTCGACTCCACGCTTGAGGAGATGACAGCGTCCTCGGCAGATCACTGGCGCAGGCTTAGGGTTTAGGGGTTAGGATTCAGGGTTCAGAGTTCAGGGTTTAGGGTTGAAGGTTTAAGAAAGGGCCTTCAGGGCCAGGGCCTGGAAGCTCGCAGGAAGGAGTCTGGATGCCCGAAGCCTCCAAGACACACCACTCCCCTTAACTCCTGTTTTGTTCAAGGCTTTTTAGACAGTAGGGGGAAGATTGCTTCCCCATGGAGGCCCTTGAGCTTTCGATGCCCCCAACGAAGGCTGAGGCTGGCGCGGCCAAGGCGTGCTCGTGCGCAGAGTTCTTGATCTGCTGAACCACGGCCTGGCCACGGGAGGCTGTGGCCCGGGTTTCGGTGTCCGAAACGGCTGCGTTCATAGGCAGAAGGCTGCATTTATAGGCTTATAGGGGGGCTTCAAGAGGCGTTTTGGGGGGGGATCTCCCTGGAAGAGCGACCTGGAGGAGCCCGGGCATGAACTTCGTCTCCACGGCCATGCTGCCCACGTCTGCGAAGACGCCCTCAGAGAGACCGCGAGTGAAGACATTTCGCAACTCCCGCCACAACCGGAACTTATTCCTGCACCTCATCCCGGGAAAGAGCCCGGTTTCCGCTGGGGCGGCGGCGGCATCCTCCAAGTTCTGCAGAAGGCGTCCCTTGAGGCCTCCAAGGTGATGGCTGCCGCAACTTCCCCACGTACAGGAACGGGGGGCTTGGGTGGTGCTGTTCGAAGCCCACAACGTCTGGCACTTCTCCGCAGATCCGACCAGATCCTGGACTTCAACCCGAAATGACCGAAGCCAAAAGCGCCTTGGAGGTGTTCTGAAGCGATCTGCCGGGCAAGGACCTCTGCAAGAGGGTACGAGACAGCTTCCGGCTCACCGTGGCAAGAACCGCTCTTGAAGAGAGAGATCTGCAAGAACCTGTCTGGAATCGGTACCCGTCACCCCGCAAGTGTCCCGCCTTCCGCATCGTGCAGATGTCCTGCTCGTGCCTGGCTGCCTGCACATGAGGCGACATCCTTCTCTTGCCGTTGCTGAGCTGTGCAGGACGCCATGCTTTCATACCAAACCCCTTTTTTGCAACACAGCCGAAAGGGACAGAACCGAGGCCTGTCTACCAAGATGCAGCAACAACGACAGCTCAACTTCCTTCTATGTAGTCTGCAAGCGACGGCCAAAAGAAGCAACGGACTCAGAAAAAAATTTCACTAGCAGAAACAAGTACCCCAAAAAATGGCCACAGTAGCACGTTGTGAAACAGCATCCCTGGGCCTGCTGCGCCACCCGCCTTTGCACTTCGTCTGCGCGACGCTTCTCGGCGGCCTCCATGCGCTGCACCTTCGGGGCTTAAGCTGAAGAGAGCTTCGGTTTAGGGTTTAGGGTTTCGGGTTTAGGGTTTAGGGTTTAGGGTTTAGGGTTTAGAGTTTAGGGTTTAGGGTTTAGGGTTTAGGGTTTAGGGTTTAGGGTTTAGGGTTTAGGGTTTCTGTGCTGGCAGTTCATGTTGCTCTTTGCAGGAGCCAAGCTGTCTGACCTTCAAGCTGTCTCCATGCGCTTGAAGACACTGAAGCCACTGCGTCGTCTTCGCGACGCAAACGTCAAACGTACAGTCGGAGCCAAAGCCACCACTCCAACTCTTGAAGCCCCCTCGCAGCCTCCAAGAGTTCGGCATTCCGGCGCTTCTCGAAGTCTTCCTGATGCCTGCACACTTTTTTCCCGGTTTTGGGCAGCTTTGGCGTGGAGTATGGGGCGTGGGGCTGCAGCAGGGTTTAGCGCACGGACACCAAGCACTGCACACATGCGGTCCTCTGCAGGCTGGCGAGCTCCTCCTCTTCCAGGACTTCCATCATGCTCTGCTCCAGGGTCTTGCCAACGAGGACCTGCTCAGGCGTCTTGAGCTCTAAGGACTCGAAGGTACAGACACTCTGCAGGAGATTCTCGCAATCTAACCTCAAGCCTTAGCTCTCCCGCGCCGACAGCTTAGAGGTGCCGTCACTTCATCAGACCCATGAGCAACTGAGAAAGAACATTCCGGCGCGACGCTGCTGGCGCGCAAGCCTCGAGGACGGGCTCACACTCCACGTCGAAGTCAAAGAGCTCTCCATCCTGCAAGATGGCACATCTCACTGGGCCAGCATCGCTACTCTCGAACATTGTCAGGGGTTCTGGGCGTCAAGCAAGCCCAGAAAAAAGGCAGCCAGCTGATTCTTGACTGGGTACGGTAGATGAAGATAACAAAGATTGTTTAGGTATGAGGTTGAGCGATTGTCGAGCCACATGCCTTGTTTCGCTTCAACAGTAGCAGGTCGTGGCTTCGCTTCCAATCTAAGGTGTCCCTGCCCTTGGAGTCTGCAGGAGTTGTTACAAAAAATGGTGTCCACGCTCAAGAAACATCCAAGAATATCCTGCCCAACACAGAACCAGGCTCACACATCTGAAGCTCTGCTCTCATCCACCACGGTCCTCGATCTGTGTCTCGATGTCGATGCCAATCTCAGGGCAGCAGTGGTTGATCAGCGTTTTATTTTCCCTGAAGGTTGAATGCTTCATCCTTCGAAGGTCTCTGAGCCTTGGCAGGCATGAAGAGCGGCGACGGCGGGCGGTCGAGTATAAAATCCGTCTGCGTCTCTGCCTGTCGCGAGGCGAATAGCAAGAAGCATAGAGCAAAACCGGCTCAACTACCTCTCTACATCCACCTTTTCTCATGCGCCTGCTCTCAGCTGATACCTTCATTGTTTCAATAGGCTTGGGGATTTCGGGCTTAGGGCAAGAGAACCTCTCAAATCCTAGCTCAGGGCACCTCAAACTCCACAACACGGTCAGTCAACTTCTCCAGATACCTGCAACAAACAATCAAGTCTCTATACATGCCCAGTCTGGCTTGAACATGTGCTCATTGAAGGATTGCCATGCGGCGGCAGCTACAAGACCTCCTGATGGACGTTGATAAACTTGGGTTGATAGCTCGAACAGTGACGTGCAGTGAAGTGACATGGGTGTCGGCTGAGAATCTGTGGCAGGCACGAATCGGTCTGGATATCCATGTGCTTGCGACCTTAACGGGGCATCGCTGCTGCGCGCTACCGTGCTTCTTTGGAGAGGAGGAAAGCTTGTGGAACATGAAACACTATGGATTTCAAGTTACACCACAAAAAGCATTGCTGTCGAATGATGTCAACCCGGCGGCAGGCTAAGTCCAACCCCCTGAGCCTGCCCACCTGGAACGGCTTCAGGCGTGCCAGGCCGTTTTCTTGTTTGGTTGGCACCTGGGCAAGGATCCCTAAACCCTGAACCCTAAACCCTCAACCTCCTGTAGAGCCATCCAGACCCCAAACCCATGCCCTGGGAAGAGGGTGGGGAGCGATCTCAAATCTGGTTCTCTTCTGGCATGCTTCTTGTGGTCACGAAACGGACCAAAGGCTTCAATAGCTTCGCGTACCATCAAGGGGGGACGTATAACTTGGGCCACGACATCGGATCCGAGGCTCCCACGCTGCAGGCGCCGTCTCTGGGCTTCCCTCTGCTTCTGCACCTTCTATGGGCTTTAGAGGAACCAGGGGTATAGGGTTTAGTTAAGGGTGAAGGGTGTGGGTTGTTCAGGCCGTAGGATCTGGGGCTTGAGCAGACACCGGATAGGAATGCTGGTCTGCCTACCGACCTTCGTCTGCAGGGCTCATGGACGAACTTCACAACTCACCACCCCCACAAACTACCGACCTTCAAACGCAACCCTGAACCCTCTTCCCTTTCTACATGATTCAACGAGCGGGGATGTACGAAAACAGGGGACCCCTAAAATTGATGCCCACATATGAGGGTTCCCTATTAACACGGACCCAAAAAGGTGCCCCTAATTTCGGACCCCCAAACCCTAAACCCGAACCCCTAAACCCGAACCCCTAAGCCCTAAACCCCAAACCCCTAAACCCTAAACCCTAAACCCTAAACCCCCAAACTGAACCAGGAGCCTCTGCCATGTCGGGCTCTGGCTGGACCACAGCTGCATAGGTATTGCCGCGCACCACACGCCGGTCGTACCTGGCAACCCAGGGCAACAAAGAGGGCTTGGGGTTTAGGGTTTAGGGTTTAGGGTTTAGGGTTTAGGGTTTAGGGCTTCATGTTGCACCTGTTTTAGTGTTTGCCCCCCCCCCCCCCCCCCCCAGAACAGTCAAGGCTGTGTTGTCTCTGTTTACACGGTCCACAGGCTTTATATGAGTGTAATAGCGAGGAGTTTATGTAAGTTTATAAAAGGGGCAGCGATGCCCGAAAAAAAAATCTTACGGCGCCCGGACGATTTGACTGCGCACCCCCAAACAGTCAGGGTGTCCTGGATAGCCCGGCCCTTTGACTTTATAGAGGGGGCCCCCACTAAACCAGGTCCAACAGTAGGGTTTAGAGTTTGGTTAGGGAGGCTTGCTTCAGGATTCAAGGGGTCTGACCGCTTCTCAGGACGTTTGTGGGAACCGGCCCAACGTAACTGGGAGGAATCCGGAGCTGTCAAGTTGTGAAGCAGCACAGCGCACTCCCTGAGCCCGGGTCACATAATGTTCCCATAAGCCTTTCCTGTGTCATTGGGATCTCTGTACCTGAGGCACAGGGGCAGGGTGTGGGCCAAGTGCCGCAACTGCCTGTTTTCAAAAGCCGATAACAGCCACACCTGCTCCACGATCCACGCTACAGGCAACCCCGCATGGCTTCGCCTCCCCCCCCCCGATCATCACATCGCTGTGCCCGTGCGCACTTGTTCCGCGCTCCCACAGCTTGCGGTGCAGTGGAAAACTGCTGCACCTGTCCGGGCAAATACAAACCTTGGCAATACTGGGCAGGCAGAGCTTAACATAGCACATCGGGTCTATTGGTAGAGCTCTGGTGCAGCTGCGCGAAATGGTTTCTGCTCGGCGCCTCTCCGGACTTCATCTTGGCCTCATGTGCGAGAACATGCAAGAGAAAACCCACATGCATGGTCCATACTCCAGTCTCTCCACAGCCTTACCAGCAAACCCGTGCTCGAAAGGTTCGTCCCCTTGGCAACTGAGCTCCGCACGGCCCTGGCTCTGAAACAAAGTCAAGCAACGCCGCCCAAAACAAGGCGTTGAGCCCTTACGGCCGCAATCGGCACCCAATCGTACCGCCAAAGCTTGGATCGTGTCAGGTGAGCTCAGCGAGACATCTTGGCACCCTGAGGCCTCTCGTCCTCTCGTCGCGTTTTTTTGGCAGAAACCCTGAATATCTAGAGAGCATCTGAGAGCATCTAGAACTGACTTGTCAAATTGGGAAAATACTCGTAGCCGTACAAGAAGCTTCCACCACGGGAATTGTGAACCCAACCGACTGACCTCGCCGGCGCCTGCTAAACCCATTTTCCCAATACCCGATTGTTAGTTGCAGGCTGCGATGTTTCTTTTGGTCAGCTCGCCATGCCATGGTCGTCGCTCTCCTTCCATCTGTGGCCACCTTGGCTCCACAGGAACCCAACGGTGGCCACCAATCCCTGCAGTTTAGGGTTTAGGGTTTAGGGCTTAGGGCTTAGGGCTTAAGGCTTAGGGTTTAGGGTTTAGGGCTTAGGGCTTCGGGTTTCGGGTTTCGGGTTTCGGGTTTGGGTTTGGTTAGGGTTAAATTTGGGTTAACATGACTTTGGAGTTTGAGAGTCACCCGAAGGCCATGACTCGCGAGGACACCCTCAAACTTCGGGCGTTCAGAGCTTGATGCCAAGATGCAGTCCAGGCAAGTGACAATGAGGGTCCTTGGACGGACGCAAGGAGCAAGGAGACGGCCGAGCTTGGCAAAGTCATGTCAGTACGCGCAGGCAATGCAGAGCTGACGGTCGGTGCCTGTGACAGCGTTAGTCAAGTTGAGCAGCGCATCTTGGTGGTCATTGTGCCATCCAGTCTGAACCTGCACTTTCGGTTTCTGTGCAATTTAGATAACCACCCTCCAAACAGCGTCGACCGTGCAGTCAACAAAGGAAGACATTGCGACATTTAACTCACGTAATGTTTGGTTCAGGATGGAGTTCCGATTCGGCCCAATGCCTCGTTGCGGCAGCAACGATGGGAGCCACAGCGACTGCAGGTGTAGTCCTCTGCAGGGGAGGTATGGCCATCCTCATCTAAGCAGGCGACGCTTCCACAAAACCTGCCTGCAGCTCGAGACTGTTTGGCAACGTCTTTGGCCATCGTTTCTCTGGACATGTCATATTGAGAGGTGCAAGCGAACGCCATCCAGTGAGCAAAAAGGCGGCTCAACTCTGGAACCGCTGGAATGACCCGTTGCTTTTGAACGCCACGGACTCTACGAACCACTCTCTACACTGAGGCCTCCGTCATTGTTGATGCTGCCGGCGGCTCCTCCGTCAGCAAAGCCTCCTCCCGACCAAGAAAGGCGAAGTTGGTCTGCAAATTCGAAGGCGCTCCCTGGAGCCTCCCGACGCTCTTACCTGGAGAGCCTGATCCAAAGAACTCTTTCAAGCTTGTGGGCCACACCCCGACACAGGTCCCACACCCGTAATGGCCCATAATCCCCCCTCCTTGAGGGCCAGCTCCTGTACTTTCTGCTGCGCTTTTCGCTGCTCAACCTGAAGGGAGGGGTGGAGCTGAGTGTCTAGATTGACAGGGCTTGTACTTGTAGGCTTGCTGTGTACTTGAAAGGCTTAAAGGGTCTGGCGCTAAAGAGCTCAAGGAACGACTCACCCCTAAAATATCTAAACATCATCAGTCCGCTGGAGTTGGGCTGGTATTCCGAGCTAGGAAGTGTGCCACAGATTCTGTAAATGGCTTCCTTTACAACAAGATGCGCAGCCTGTATGGGGGCTTTACGAAAATGGGGGACCCCCAAGATAGCTCCCCAAATAATAGGATCCTTATGCAATAAGGACCCCCATAAGGTTCCCCGACTTTCGGAATCCCCCCACAAGAGTCTATCACAGGCAGATGCGGCCCAGCGGCCGTCTGCAGAGCAGCGTCTGGCAAGGCGGCCACCTGACAAGGCGACGGTGGAAGAGAATGTAGGGGCTCACCCAAACCTTCATAGCTGGCCACTCGGATTGACAAGTGCCCTCTTCCCTAAACCCTAAACCCTAAACCCGAAACCCTAACCCCTAAACCCTAAACCCTAACTCAAGCCCCGCTTCAGTTGCGAGATGCCGCCGTAGATGACGAGCACGCCTCGCACACTTTTACTGGCCTGGCCTGTGGCTGGTTTGAGGTTAGAGCTGCATGCAGTCAGATGCCTTATCTGACTTGTCCAGCAAGTTCCACCGAGAAGCCCCCGCAAAGGGAGGGACAAAGTGAAAAGGGTGGGCACTAAACACTAGGCAAGGGGGCTCATCCAATTAAGCTTCACATCTTGAGCGCGTTGGTGCGGTCAGCTGTTACGACTTTTCTCAGGAAGTGAGAGGCATGTTCAGGAGCAACTCAGGAAGTGTGAGGCACGTTCAGGAGCAAGTCTTGGAACTTTCGACTTTACCCCTTGCCAACCGCAGTTTGTTTGCCAAGTGCAAAGACCTCTCCTCAGGAATATCACCTCAACCCTCAACCCTCAACCCTCAACCCTAAACCCTGAACCCTGAACCCTAAACCCTGAACCCTAAACCCTGCCCCGTCTCCCCTCCCCCCCCCCCGCTCCCCAGAGCTTCGGCACAGTAAAGGCTGAAGGCCTCCTCTGCAGAGAGCTGGTGTTCGGCCAACTTCTCAACCAGGCTGCCCGGGCCACGCTTCTGAAGGTGCGTGCAGATCCTGGGGCTTCACATGAAATTTGAGGAAGGGGAACAAAACCGAGGGACTGGCCTCTTGTAGTGTCTCTGGTAGCTCTTCTTCTCCTCCCCCACGATGAAGCCCAGCGGGCAGCAGTGGTTGAAGAGACCCTGAGCTCCCACAACCATGGGGGGGGAGGGGCACTGGCTACTGTAGTAGAGAGACCGTTAGGATTAAGAGGCAACGCCTTTGGAATCTTGACACCGGCCCTGTCAAAGAGTTGGGAGACAGCAGCTCTGAAACTCAAAACCAGAAAAGACGCACGCTAGAAGACAGTAGTGCCGGCTCCTGTTGCTTCCTGCTCAACTACGAAGTAGCCACCCGCAACCAGCAGAGGGCGCCTCCTCCAGCTCCTTGCAGAGCTTCCTGGGGCAAAATTTGGGGGGAAAGAGCTGGGCAGGCGAAGCTGATCCTCCACAGCAGCAACAAAGAACTCATCAGGAAAGCTTCAAACAACGAGCTTCTTCTGGTGCCAAGCATCTTTGGGAGTTCTCCCTTCTCTGCGAAGCCTTTGGCGGCCTGATGGGACTTGGGGTCCAAGCCCTTTTTGCACTGGGAGCTCTTCGGAAGGACGGGAGAATGGAAGCTTGAGGAATTTTGCGAAACAGACCCCGCAAGACACCGGTCTCTCTCAGCACTGAGGGCACCACAGCATCACGGAAATTGAGGGTGTCCTGCCAGCAGTTCAGAACGCACGTGAATGCCCCCATGCCTGCAGTGAAGCTCTTCCATTGTACCTGTTCTTGCGTCCTACATGCTGCAGGCAGAATCCTTCAGGCGAAGCTTACCCCCAGGCAAGCTCCTTCCATTCGTTCTGCAGCATTTGCGCTCGACCAGCGATCTCTGGATCTGGCAGCTTCCTTTGCGCAGGTGGAAAAAGCAAACACTGAAGTTCAGCAGTATTTACATGTCAAAAAAAAGACAATGACCCCCTGGAGGTCTCGTAGCTTTATTTGGTCTAATGATTCCAATGCTGGCCAACTTCGCCAGCTGCCCGATCGACTTTCCCACGCCCGTCTTTTCGAGGACGGCGCGGTCGACCACATAGTCGGCGAGCTTGTGCAGCACCTCTTCACAGTGGTCTGCTTGGCACCGTGGTCATGACACTTCAACTTCGCTAAAAAAACGATGACCGGTGGAAGGCATGCTCGTCCGCACTTTTGTCCCGGCCCCGTCCATCGAGTGCTGTTCCTCGCCCCCCGCCTGTTCCATCACTATGCGTCCGCTCGCATCCCGCCCTGAATTGAGACCTCAACCTAGGGAAAAACTTGGCCAACAGTTGGAGACTCAAGATTCTGGCAGACGCAGGCAAGTCGACGAAGAGACAACCGAAACTCATGAAGCCCCAACATGTCACAGATACAGCTCAAACACCGTTTGAAAAAAGTCAAAAGCGAAAGACCCCAACAGCCCGGGAAAGTAGAAAGTGAACAAAGGACCTTAGCAGCAAAGCCCTGAAAGGTCCAAAAAGGCCGGACTTCGAAAGTACCGTAATTGCCTTTTTCTTGCGCATCATACTTTGCTGAGACCTCTTTAGCATGTCTCGCGGCAAGAACTGAATCCCCATCAACAGATGTTGCTTTACAGGTTCTACAATATATCGAAAGCCTCACCAACATTGAAACACATCTCCCTTTCCTGAGACTCAAACCTACGGCCGTGCCTTCAACAGATGTTGTCGACCGGTCTGCGGGTCAGTTGTTGAGTTGCGGATGGATTCCACAGTCGCCGCGACCTCTCCAAGGGGTGAGTAGTGAGAGCCCGAGGTCGGGGAATTCTATAGACACAAGGAATGAACATGCACGGCTCAGCAAACCTCTCACAACAGTCCCCTAGCCGCCCTAGCCTCGCGGATCGTGCGCTTGCGAAAGAGGCCCGCATGAAGGTTCGGGCCCGGGCTGGGGAGACCCACCGAGAGTGCCATTTCTGCTTCGGAAAGAGGCACTGCCAGGGAAACCTGCGGCTTGGGCTTGTTCGGCCTCTTGCTGTCCTTGCTGTCCGCTTCTGCTTTGGAAGCGGGTGCTGTGGACGGTTTCGCGTGTGGCACCAATGCAGTGGACAGCGGCCTTGGCTTGTTGCCGACCAGCTGTCGGCCCATGGCATCGGTGGCTTCAACCCTTGGTGCTACTCCATGGCTGGCGTCTTGCAAGGGCCGGCGTCTTGCAAGGGCGTCTGCTTTGGACTCTTGAGGAGGAGGTGTAGTAACGGGTTGTTAGGTTGTGGGAGGGAGGAGTGGTGAGACTCTGAGAGGAGGAGTTGCTCTGCTAACTTGCAGAAGGCTGCGGCGAGGACTTGCCACATTCTGCCCGTCTCCTGACCAACCCATGTCTGTGCCACACGCGTCGTAAGCCTCCTCTCCAGATGCTGCAGTTTACTATAAGATACAATACACTCTAAAGTACAATAGCAGACTTCGATATTATACCAATACTATACTCACATATATGTTGCGATACCCCACAGAATCATGACACAGACTGCGATGTACTATAACGGTTTTTGCAACTTTGGGGGGAGGGGGGATTGGCTGTGAGAAGCAGGATGATGGGCTTCGGGCCTTCAATGTAGGGTACCCAAGAAGTGGGGACCAAAAAATTTAAAGAACTGCCCCATATCTTTTCTCTTCTCTGAAATGTCTCGTCGCCGTGCCAGTATTTGGCACATGCCGACGAGGTGCGAGCTAAGACTAAGAGCAGGTGCAGGTGTCAAGGTTAGGCGCTTCTTCTTGAGCTTTTGGCCGACCCGAGCTAGTAAGCTCATCATCTCTCCTGTGTGCTGTCTCCAAACAGCATCGAGAGTGCTTTAAGCACCTGCACCCTGTTCTGGGAGATTCTCAGCATTCAAGTCTCTTGGTATGAAAAGCCTCGGACTTGGCTAATTAAAGCACAGCAAGTTTCGCTGTCCTATGCAGCCGCGTGAAGCCTGACCCGCACCTTCAAAGGACCTTATGACACCACCCTAAACCCTAAACCCTACACCCTAACTCCTAAACCCTAAAGGCGTTGAGCAAGAAGGGAAAGTGCGGCTTCGGCCACGCACAGGCAGGATTCCCAGGTGCCATAGATTGTGGCAACCGAGAAAGATCAGATAACTCCAGGTGTGCCTGTTGAACCACTACGCGACTCGGTCCTTCCGGCAAGTTTAGAGTTTAGGGTTGAGGATATAAGGTTTAGGGTTCAGGGTTTAGGGCTTCGGGTCTACCAAACCGCAGGCATCAAGGAGAAGCACAAAATCATCAGCGGTCATTGTAAACCGAAGCTACTTTGTCTTGATGGTGGTCCCGATGCAGCCCTCGTGCTCTTGTGCTACTGCCTATAGATTTCCAACGTCTAAGGGTCTAAGGGCTTCACCAACACCCGTCAGCAGGCCGCAGCAGCTCACCAGCGAAGATATCATGTGTTGCGCAGGGCGCAAAAATCTTTGCTCGTCTTATTTAGATTGACGTGCGCGAAACGACATCTCTCCTGCTGAGCGGCAGTGGTCTTCTCGGCCAACTGGAGCGGCATCACTTGGCCTTGCAAACAGGCTGAGCACCCCAGTTTCTGGCGATGTCCCCCTCCCTCCCAGGCATTCTTGGGCCGCGGCCTGCATGAACTTTCGAAACCGCGTGTGCGCCGCGATCACGCCCTGGTTGCTCCTGCTGTGCAACTGCATCAAACTATGTCAAACTGCAAACTTCAAAGAAGCTTGGGAAATATTAGGAAAACGCCTGGCCATGGAACCTTGAATCCTGTGGCCTGCTTGGTCATGCGAAGTCGCTCGGTCCTTGGATCACAGGGCTCACCTGTGTACACCGTGGCATTGGTGGTCTGGAACCTGCGCAAGCAGCCACGCGCTGGCCAGCAAGAGGTTCAGGAATCGTTTGCAAGGGGGTGATGGAGGATGAGGGGGTGTAACACTCCTGGGTTGGTGTGACTTAGGCATGACAGCAAGCCGCTTTGGGGATTGGTTTTTGGGTTCACGGTAATTTTCATCGTAAAATAGCCAGTAAAAGTAGCAATACTAGTAATAATCGTCATCATGCAAATAGTAGTAACAATAGTCAGCGTTGTGCACTGGTCACCTTTCCTTCCATGGTCAGCTGCTACGTACTGCGACTAATTGAAACTTCAAAGCTTGCTACAGCAACGTGGGTTATTGTCTGCATCGTCCAATCAACATGACGAAAGCCTCCTCTTGTGGCAGGTGTGGATGCCGTCGTTGAATTCGATGGTTGACGCGTTCTTGTACGGCACCGCAGCATCGTCAACCTTGCTTGTATGGTGCAGATGCGACTCGAGGAAGCAGTTGTAGTACAAGTAATGGCAGCTTCCTAGCATGGTAGAAGTAGTAGCAGTAGTAGTTCTGATGGTAGTCACAGAAATACAAATATATTGATAGTATTCATGGTAAGACTAAAAAGAAGAAGAATAATAGTCTCAATAATAAAGGTAGAAAACATACTATATAAATACTAGTAATAGTAGCACTAGTCGTAATCATCCAAATAATTGTAGCATTACCAATAATAATATTGTGAACACAGAAATAGAAAAATTGTAAAACAAAAACAATAGTAATAATAGTCATAGTAGCAATACTGGCAATAATATCAATTAACAGTAGTAAGAGTAGTAAGAGTAGTAAGAGTAGTAAGAGTAGTAAGAGTAGCAAGAGTAGCAAGAGTAGCAATGGTAGCAAGTGTGGTAAGAGTAGGAAGAGCAGTGAGAATAGTAAGAGTAGTAAGAGTAGTAAGAGTGGCAGTAGTAGCAAGAGTAGTAAAAATAGATAGAGTCATATTAGCAATAGTAGCAGCAGCAGCATTAGTAGTAGTAGTAGTAGTAGTAGTAGTAGTAGAAGTAGTCGTAGTAGTAGTAGTAGTAGTAGTAGTAGCAGTAGCAGTAGCAGTAGTAGTAGTAGTAGTAGTAGTAGTAGTCGTCGTCGTCGTCGTCGTAATAGCATAGGAGTCGTCGTCGTCGTCGTAGTAGTAGTGGCAGAGCAACAAAGGTAGGAATGAATAGTAATCGTACTGGTAGTGGCAGTAGCAGAAACGCATAGCAATATGAATGGTACAGGATGAAGTGCTAGTAGTGATTGCAGTAATTAGTCGTGACAATACCACTTGTAGTCGTAGTAATCGTAGCAATACTAGCAACAGCAGCAGCTGTAGAGCAAGCAAAGTAGAATGGCAATACGTACCAGTAACGACTAGTATTGACAGCAATCAAAAACGTCACAGAAGCAGCATTGGTAGCCATAGTAACAGCATTTGGCAATTCTGCTCATGGCAGCTGGTTCTGAGAAGCTGGCCGCCAGGCGAGAGCGAAAGGCGTTCGGAGTATAGGGCATCAAGGGTTTCCTGACTGGTACAGAGCCGAGTTGGCACTAGTGTTACTGCAGGCTTATCACATGGCCCACGACAGGGACTCCTCCCGAGAGAAGATGAAGCCAAAATCACGCTTGAGGCAAGAGGAACGCTGCTCTATGCTATGCTGCACGGAAGCTCGATGCCTGTCCATGGATGCATAGCAGTAGGGCATCTCGCGGTAGCCCGCCGCCTGCGAAGGGTCTTGATTGAAGTTCTACAGCGTCGAAAGCCGCTTGTGGAAAGATGCGGCTGAGAAGGTTCGCAGAGGCTGTGGCAAAGCCGTTTTCCGCACTCATGCACGTCTTTAAAGGTCAAGAGTGAGACCAGCACGCTTTTCAAAGGTGACAAGGCCCCTTGCTAGTGACAGAGGTCCGAAGAGGCCTTTTTCATACCCCATGTCTGCTCATTTTTGTCGCGAACTATGGTCTGCTTCTGAGCTTCTTAGAACTTCTGGCATGTCCACGAGTCTGCCAATGGCAACGTACCGACTCTGCTACTCAGCGGGTGCGCAGCATCCCAGAGCCTCATCTGAACAGCACTGAGCAGCCGCAAAAAATGCAGTGAAAGGAAACGAAATGCTCGCAAGGCCTGCACCTGCACACAGTTGGGGGGGCTGCTTGACACTTTGGGGCCCTTTGACATAGACACAGAACGTCCTTCTTGTAGAGGCCCACATCATCAAGAAGCAGTTCCCTGCAACTTGCAACTGCAGCTTGACCTTTTTGCACTTTTTCTCGCAGCACTTCATTGGCAGCGAGTCTGCGCTAACGAGGCATGCGAGCAGCCTAGTCCGCCTGGTATCCCGCCGAACATAGCTAGACTTCTGCACACAAGGCCCCAGGCATTGCATGACCCAGTGAGACCTATAGCGACAGTGAGGCCTGACTGACCTCCAAACCCTACATAACCAAGCCCTGCAGCAGGTTCAAATTACTCGGCTGTCTGTGGTTTGGGTAAGGCGAACCCCTCTTGCCGTCCAAAATAGCAATTGTACACGTGTCAGGTGAACCTTCCCGAAGGGCAGGACTCCTTTCTGCTAGAAGCCTTCTCAAACACGAACAAGACCCCAAAAAAAAGAGGGAATGGTACTGAGACCTACATGGAGGGTTCGGCTTGGGGACCGCCTCTCAGACCCAGAAGATGCCTCCAAGGGCTGCTGTTGGAGGGGAGTCCAGGGCTTTGGGGGGGGGACCCTTCTGTGGCCTTTTGGGCGAACTGAGATGCTGAAAGGCGCCAACCCGCCCAGAGCTTTCAACATCCAAACGTTTGCCTCTGTTGAAACCCCCTCTTACCCTCCACAGCCCCTCCCAATGGGTTCACCGAGCCTCGGCCCTTGCATTTTACCTCCTCCGACTCCTGCTGCGGCTGCTCCGGCTCGACCTGAGGCTTGACGCAGCGCGGTATCTGGAAAAAAGGAGAAAGCCTTGAAGAAACGTGTTGAAAGGAGGAGGGTTTTGGCGCCGCATGCGCAGCTTCTCTTGCGAGCTTCAGCCCCCGCCGAGCACCCGCGCTTCGCCCTTCGGCTCCGCCGGTCGCGGTCGCGGTCGCGGTCGCGGCCTCGGGTCGGAGGCCCCCTACGATGCGCCGAGACATGCCCAAATGCCCAAACCAAAGCAGTTTTTCCGAACGTAGAACGTATAGGGGATCCGAAGTCCGGGCCCTTAATTTGGGTCCCCTGTTCTATAACCCTTTCATACACTCTACATAATGAAGGGCCCAGACTTCGGATCCCTCTAAACCCCTTTAAACAAGGGTAAGGGAGCATATTCAGGGGGCTACGGTTCCAACCTTAGAACGTAGAATTCAGGACATTTAAGGCATGTAGGGCGTTTTTGGGTGCTCTTCAGCTCCCGGCCTCTGCTTCGCTCTCGTGGCGCGGGCTTTGCGTCAGGCCTTTCGCATGAAGAGGACGATTCAAAGGGATTCTAGAGCGACTCAATGGCTTTGATGGAGCGTAGCGTCTCTCCAAGGCAAAAGGAAGCTTTGAGTCCACGGCCGCTTCCGTTCCTTCTCATCCTCGCGCTTTTCATCCTCGAGGCTTTGGCGGACGTTGAAAAGATCTCAATCGCTTTGCATTGCTTTGCATTGCTTTGCATTGCTTTGCATTGCTTTGCATTGCTTTGCCATGGATTGACATCTGCTGCTTAGCGTGGTCCGCAGCGTCCTTCTTCGTCGGGGCCTCATCTTTCTTCCCCCTGCCGCAAGCGAAGGGAAGGCATCGGATCACGACAGACAGGGCCCCTTTGCAGATACCCAGACAGCGGCAGATGGACTCCTGATGGGCGGCCGGTTGTCAGCGCGCGACACGTTGATCTTCTGGCCATCGAGCTTTTCCCCATCCATGTACTTCACTGCGTCCTAGCGTGCACATGGGGCTGGAGTGACAAGGAGCTTCCAATTGAACTTGACAAGTGCGAGACCTCCACATGTCAGTCCTCGGCATCGCGCTTATCCTTATACGAAATGTACACCTCAGCCGAAAAGATCTCGAAAAGCGTGCGCATGCTGATGCATTTCTAGCTGCTAGCCGCTCCAGGCACAGCGTCTGCAGGCAAAGGCCAAAACGAGTCGTAAACGAACGGTAAGCAGACGCCGAAGACTTCAGAATACTTAAATTGGCACAGGCACTGCGGTCCCGTTCAGCGGTGTCTCGATTTTGATGATGTGGCCGAAATCTCCGAACGCTGCCTCGGCTCATCTCGGCTGACATCTCTGTGGAAATCTGTGTTCAGAGTCGAAGCCCGAAGGCCCTTGCAGTCGCATCACCGCACGTCTCGTCAAGTCTCTCAATCTGGGTACTTCCCCAACACTGCACCCTGGAATCTCTTGTCAACTTGGCACACCTGGAGGCGGGTCTTGGTCGCCTTCGCCCCCAGCCCCGTGACGCAAACGCGGTGGCCCAAGTCGTAGTGCCAACCTCGCGTAGGGCAGGGTGCGGGGTTTAGGGCCTATAGGGTTAGGGCTGAGGGTTTTAGGGTTTAGCGTTTAGGAGGTTTAGCTTGCAGATCGGGAGCAATCCTACAGCAAGTTCACAGCCCTCAGGTGAAACACACACACACACCTCTTTACATAGCTCCGAGCTGTCCAAAGAAGTGCACGCGTAAGCAACAATAACCGGACAGGCCTCCAGGACCAAGCGGGACGTTCGTCATCTGCAGATTGAGGCTGGGTTCCCGTGCTTGCAAGCGTGAAATACTCTCGAAGAACTTCACTGCCACCCTTCAGACCAGCGGTTCAAGCATAGCATCACGCCTCGAAAGCCGTTGGGGAATCCTATAGCCCATGTCACAACAGCGAAGGCATCGACAACTTGTGGCACCTTCGCAGGATAGGAGCCATGAGCAAGCCTATGCGCACAGTGATTCCCCTAGCACCGGGTGTCGTGAGTGGTCAGCTAAAGAGTGGTGTGATCGGACTGGGCCTATCACTTTGCTTTGTGAAGGTGGGGTCAAAAGTTCTTTCGGCACCACACTTCTCACACGGCGGTGATAGTCTCAGCTGTGCTCCTTCATGGAAGCAACGGCCCTACTTTCTAGGACAGCTCTCATGTGGTCTATGCGAGCCAGTCGACTGCAGCGTAGGGTACATTTGCATGACGGCTCGCGGTGCCGAAAGACCACGCGCCAAGAAAGTTTGCTGCCTGCAAAATGCACCATCAGGGTGACATGACAAGTCCGAGGCCACAGCGGCTCTGCCCAAAGCCTGCTTGCTTTCGGACACGCCTGAGTACAGCATGCAGAGAAGTGTTGCAATTTGTAAGTATATAAGAAGTTAGCAAGACCCTTTGCCCAATCTGGCCTACCAACAGCCACCACCCCGGCACCTCATCCTACATATCCACCAGAAATCACCACAACAAACCTCTTGTAAGTATCCCCCCCTACGACTCCGACAGAAATCACCACAATCAATTTTTCTCGGTATGAAAGAACTGATTGCAATTCCGTAAGATTTACCAAAGCTACAAGTAAGTATTGCCAGACAACCCCAAGCACATGCCTAACTCGAACGAGGCATCTTGATCCCGACTCCTCCATTCCAAGTCGGTTCCAGTTGTTCGGGACACGCCTGGTCGGAGGGAGAAGACGTCTCGGCCTCGCAATCAGGCGGACTTGCTGTGATTCTTTCGCGGGCTGTGCTTGCGCCCTCAACTGGATTTTCTCGGGCAGTTCGGCAAGAAGTCGGCAAGAGCTGCAATTCAAACTCTGTATCTGCAGATCTGCTTCCTTCCCAAGTGGCCACTCGTGCTGCTAAGGCGGCTGGGGCCTGCAGTTCAATTGCCTCGTACTGCCTCAAGGCTTGCTGGTACCACACTGAAATTGTGCGTCAGGAGCCCTAGAAGTCAGCAGGCACGGCAACGGCTCAGCAGGCACCACCCAGCGAGGGGCAAACAGCTGCCACGCAGGATCACCCCCATCGAAATGGTAGATGTTGGCCGACAGCTGCGCGAAAGAGTCGGAAGTTCGCACAGCCACATTCTCCCCACACCAGATGCGGATTGCAGCAGCGATCGCTTCGCAGCAGCGCTCGCCACAGATCGCCAGGGGGTGGCGTCCAGGTGCAGGGACTTCGTGGAATTCTGCCTCTGCGAAACTAAAGACGATCACACCTTCACCTTCCGGCGCATTCACCACTATGGGGCCGCGCTCACCTTGCAGCTCCACCAGCAAGAGCAAAAAGACCTCCTGCGCATGTGGGAGAGCCATCTTCAGCTGCTGCCGCAGATGCCAAGCTTGGCCGAGCTCATGTGTACTGTTCACCATCCTCACAAACACGCGCGGAGCCGCCGCCGGCACATCGCCCTGCCCAAGAAATCTTTGAGCTCGCCGTCTCATGTCATCGTGCGAACGTGGATCCTCCAGGTTGGCATGCCAGAAGCTGCCTCCCCAGCACGTTCCCAAGAACACGTCGTGTTCCTCCGCACACCGGCGCTCTGTGTATGTCAAGAAGTCTTGAAACCCCACATTGATGCAGTGTACGATGCCCTCCAAGGAGCTGCGCGTCCAGTCAAAAGGGTAGGACTTCTTTCGGAGATCCAACAGCTGCAGCGCGTAGGTTGGTGCACAGTAGCAGCCAATACTCACAAACTCGGTGCGGTTGATGAACTCCGCGGCTTTCACGCCGTGCAGATTCAGAACACTCCGGCGCTCCGGCGGCTTCATTTCCGCCCTGAAATGGCAGGCGTGCATGCTGGGATCCTCCAAGTGTGCATCCCATTGAGCTTGCGACGGCACCTCGCGAACCTCTGGAGGTGGCTGGGGCCGCCACTCGGGAGCAGAGGCACTCAGCGTGCTTAGCGAACTTAGCGTACTCACGGTTTCCAACGCGTCGGCCGTCTGGCCCTTGTCGACCGTCTCCAACTTTTGGACCGTCTGCGCCTGATCCTCGTTCGAGTTCGAGTCAGGCACGCTAACCTCATCGCCGCTCGCCTCCTCCAGCAAGTTCCAGATCTCCGGCCCCAGCAACTTCCACAACTTCTCGCAGGCAGAAAGGAATTGACATGCAGCGACACCAAATCCCAGCGCCGGTAGTGCCACAGAGGTTGCAAAACATGCCGATGCGGATGCCCAACCTCCACCTGGTGCTGCAAATGCAGCAAGCGAAACCGAAAGTGGCACAGCGTCCATCACCATTGCTGATGTAATGCCGCACCAGTTCAGCAACTCAGGGCATCCTGTAAACAGGAAAGGTGTCCTACTACAAGAGGCACCAAACAGGGATTCCCGCAAGATCAAGATGACCTCATGGTGAAGAGTGCACTGTGTCCCAGCTTGCTGGTTTGCAATCGCCACAGGTATGGCTGAGCCGGGACTGACGCGCTGCCTTTGCCCTTCTGTCTAGGGGTTCTACCTTGGACCCTTAAGGTTGTGCCCTTGGGTTTTGGGGTCCCTGTTGAAGGATCCCTAAAAACCAATATTAGAAGTATATGAAGGGAACCTCTAGGGGTACAACCCTATGGGTACGAGCCTTCATCCCTTGATTCTGTTCTCAATAGATACATTCCCAAGATGCTTTACGTGCTGTAAGGTTCGCTTTAGGACAGCATTACTAAGGGTTCGAGATGAGACTGAAACCGGAGGCAGGCTCTCCGACCCCAGCACCTAAGCACCCTGCCCCATCTTTGGCAGCGGGCTCAGGTCTGCTTCCCGAGGCCTTGGATTTGCAGATTCCCCTTGCACTGTGTCGTCACCTGTGTCATGGGCATCAAGCCAATCTCGCTGGGTGCTCTGAGGCAGGGTCTGCAGGGCAGCGAGCGCCTCCTCCTGACCAAGACCAATGGACCAGAGCATCCATGAGTCAGGCAGCAGAATGCTGCTCGCAAAGTGCAACCGGTTGCTAGGCTCCATCATGTCTGTCCCGGGCCGGGGCACTTGAAGCTCGACTCATGGCTGTCACTAGGGCCTCCTCTGTTGGGCCGAGGCAGCGATAGCGCGCCACACCCTGCCAGCCGCAAACTGGGGAAGGCCGGTGTTAGGGCGTGTTCGGCTGGTGTTCTGTGGTCTTGGGGCGGCCGTGGCGCCTGAGCCCACTCAAAGAGCACCCCCGCACCAGGATTTGCTCGGCGGACCTCTTCAGCCTGCGATTCATGTTTTTTTTTTTTTTTTTTTTTTTCAGTAAGTACCTGGCTACGACTGGAGAAGATCTGTCATCAGCTACTGGGTTCGGTGAGGTACTGAGCACCAAGCGTCCATACCCTCCAACACTGCCAGTGCCATCTGCGCCGTCTTTTGCGAGATGCATCGCGCCTCGACTCCACCAGTTGCTAGCGCAGGATGGACTGTGTGACAGTTGGGTTCGGGGCAGTCGGGGCAGTCGGTGATGGGTTGAGAATGTTGGGACCAAAAGAACTGTCAAGAGCGCTCTTGGAAGCTGGCATCGAAAAGCAGCAGCTCTGTGCGAAGAGTTTGTGAGCGCAGCGTCTGGCAGCACCGGTTGGGCAGTTTCTCTCGCGGCCGAGACAAGCGTTGAGGTCACTGAAGTCAGAACCAGCAGGATCAAACAAGCAGCTTTCAACGTCAGTGCTGAAGTGGCAATGTCATACTGATAGCAACCACGTCGACTTTGATTTTGCAATTGCTGCCCTTCGCCCGAGGGCGCGAAAAAAATATATTAAAAAAAACGAACCCTATACCTGACGACCCCGGATTGTGGTACCCCGCTTTGGGACCTCTGGGACCCCCTTCACCAAGCAACATATGACTTTGGCCGTCCTTCGTCTGCTATGCGCACGCTGCACCCCGCATTGGCCCGGCCCGGCTGCCGAGGCGGCGCGCGAGCGCTCACAATAAATGTTGCTGGATGTCTGCGGTTCAATGAACATCTGGCCTGAAGCAGATGCCCCCATCTGGCGGCTGGGGGTCCACCTGTGCCCAGCTGCGTGCAGTTTCGCTGGCAGCTCTCAGAAGCTTTGGGGGGAAGGAGGCTTCCACTGTTCTCCTTCTGGCGCTAGATATCATGTCGTGACTCTCGTTTGCAGGTCAGGGCTCTGTTGATGCACTCGGTCGGCTGCTGATATCAAGATACAGACCGGCAGCAGCCGTCCTCGTGTATCTGAGCGCACTGTACATGAGCCACCAATTCGTTGTCCATGGCGTTCGAGCCAACCAGCTGTACAATGCTTTGCGTGCAAATTCGCCTATCTACTTATCTACTCTTGGCAGCCGCGCACTTCTTTACATGTCAAGCTGCTGTTTACATGTCAAGCTGCTGTCGAATCGTAGACACTGATCCGAACACGCTGTACAAACTGAAAAGAACCACCAGGGTGCGAACACCCATGCGTTGCCACATGCGCATCTCGTGTCCATACAGCTGCAGCAGCGCAGCGCAGGGGAAGATGACGCAGACCCCGTTGGCCGGCAGGATACCGACCAAGTCGCCGATGAAAGCCACCGCGTCCTTGAGAATCACAACAACGATGCCCGAAATGGTCAGGATGATGGCCTGCCATAGCTGAAATCACCGTATCACTGAACATCCTACCTTTAGTGAGCCCACCCATTTAATCCACGCTCCGCAAGGAAGACTGGCACAAGAAACTGTTTCTTCGACCGTCGACCCCGGGCCTTCATCAGCAGCTGTCCCTTCCACTGCAGCCGCTCTCCAAACAAGTCCGTGGTGGCATCCAGGAGCAGAGGCAGGGTCACCAGCTGCTTGGTGCTCAGTCCGAGGATCGTAACTGCCCCCAAGAGAACATTCAAGCCACCCGGCAGCACTTGAAGCTCCAGGTCGCGGCCGATGTTGTCCGCAATGGACTGCGCAACACTGCCGCCGAAGAAGCCATAGCCCAGTACCTCAATGTTCCCGGAACCCTGTCCTAAAGAGTTGAGAACCCTTACAAACATGGCCAACTATACTTTATGTCTGGGTACTCCGAAGGTCAATAGGAAGGCCTCCGTAAGGGTCATGCTGTAGATCACGGCCTTTGTCCACTGCTTACGGTCCTCCATCATTTGGTAGATGAGAGGGGCTTCACTGTGTGCGAGGAAGCACAGAAGAGCGATGCCGAATGCAGATGGCACCCCTGCTGCTTTCAGCAGCGTTTGGTCCGACGCGACCTCATTCAAGGAGGAGAGCTCGGCGCCTGTGATCACGAGCCCTAGGATCAGCATCACCTGTGAGGCCATGCCAAGCACAGCCATCATTGAGAAGAACCTCTTGGGAAGAAGGCAGCAGCTGAAGGCCAACACACAGGAAAATGCGGCAGTCACGTTGTGCCTGAAGGGCAGCAGGAAGGGAAGCTGCTCGATGACGATGCTCACCAGCACCAAAGCCCCTCCAGTGAGGTCGAAGAACATGCAGCCAGCAAAAAGCAGGCGGCCGACGTTTCCGAAGGCTGCGTAGCCAATGAGGCCCCAATCACGTTGGGAGCGAGGCATGCCCATCTGGTCCGCACGCTCATCAACTGCCTCCAATAGGAAGCCCATAATCCACAAAGTGAAGCCCATGAGCACTCCAACTCCAAGCAGTAGCGGGACAAAGAGCCAGCCCGAGAGACGGAATGCGTATGGCAAGACGACACTGCCGCCTCCGACAAAGACGTTCAACATGGTGACCACAGTTCCGGCCAATGATACGCCCTGGCGAGCAACAACCGTGCGCGGCTCGCCGTTCTTGGTTTCGATGTCAACGGTTGCGAGAGGGACGCCGGACATCTTGAAGTGTTGGCGGTTCAGCAACTCGGTTTCTACGAGTAGCGGGACAAGCAGCATGTGCCACTTTGCTTTGAGCCTGGGGGCAACCACAGGACCTGAAAGGGAAAGGCGCAGCGTGCTCGAAAGTGGCAGATGGAGTGACACTCGGCATCTTGCACAGGGGCGCCCGACTCAAGGCCGCAGGGCTCTGCCCGCGCAGCAGCGACACCGCGTGCAGCGTGCGCCTTGTTGAAAAGAGATCTGTGAGATGCCTTCACCACGTAAGAATTGCAACGCATACAATGTTCCGATCACTGGGCTTGCGGCTCTATCAATGGATCCTGGCACAAGGCCATCTAAAAGGTCGGCTTGGACTTGTGGGCTACTACTCGCAAAATCAATCGGAAACGTCCGAATCGGAATTTAAATTGGCGTTATGCAGGAACGATGTCTTGAGGGGAATTTCTGTGACTGAACATGCCCCAAGCCCAGGCGCGAGCAAAGACCTCAAACTTGAGCTTCCCGGCCGGCTGACGTATCGCTCGCAGCGCCCAAAGCTCGGAGTCGGGCAAGTGTCGCCTTTGCAGCAAAGGCTTGAGGTTTTAAATGCCCGCCCGAAATATGGTCTCCTGAAGGGGCCTGTAACTGTAGCGACCGCCGTGAAGCTTTTCTGAGGTCTCGGGATGTCTCGGGTCAAGGAGTTTCGGGGTCACCTGCAGAAGGCCCCAAGGCTGCAGCAGGCACTCGTCGTTAGCCATCCACAGGCGCACGTCTCCGCCGCCAAAGAGGGATGGCCTGGGCTCCGGTGTATTGAGGCACCGTGTTGAGTTCGATATCTGTGATGTCGACACTAGGCATGGGCTCCTCTCTGCGTGATACAAGATATACACCGGGCACCGTGTCGGCAACTGACTCAAGAGTAGCTTCGGCAACGCAGATCAAGGCATGCACATCCTTATGCGTCTACCGACCCACCCTGAGCTGGGAGACATTGACCGCTGCTTGTTCATGGAGGACTCGTAAAGGAAGTGGTTGGGCCCAAACTTCATGGGCACCTGGCAACTCTGCGAGCTGGATGGATGGCAGCCAGCTTCCAACTCGCAAGGCACACAGGATGAGGTCAGGACTCGTGGCTCGGGAAGTTTCGGAAGGAAGCTGAAGTCGATGGTTTTCTTGCTGAGCCGCTCCTTGAGCCAGTGACATGGATGTGGCACCTTCGATGGCGCCCCCTGCCCCTCCGAACAACTCACATCAAGCCTTGAACAGTGGCATGGTCTGCGGGGAGGCATCGGGAACCTGCATGGCATCCGCAGGAGTGCCGGAAACTTCATCAAGAGCAGCACATGAGTCATTCGACAAACTCAACAGGACCAGAGAGACTGCTGCAGCCTGGCCCAGTCCCATCGCCATCTTCACATTGGCTATGAGATCCTTTCCCAGAACCAGGCAAGTCCAGGGTAAAGGACACCGCCGGGTGCTGGATAGTTCCGTGCTGCACTCTCTCGGAGTTGAGCTCTCCAAATACCGATGCCTTTGATTTGCAGAAGTGTCATGTTGCCCATTGTCTCCTCTATCGGTATCAACGCTCTTCACGCCGCCAGAAGGGCCCGCACGCGACGAACTCTTCCACCGGAGCCCGCTCTTCCAACCCGCCCTTCCCCTCCAAACTCTGGAAGCCTGAACTCCCATCAACATCCCCTTAAACCCCCACAAATCCCCCTAAACCCAAAGGCCTGAACTCCCTTCAACCCGACGCCTTCAACCCTTGGTCCTTGCACCGCTCCACCACCAAGGAGTACAGCTGCAAGCCGTACAGCTCCAGCCCCGGTGTCTTGCCGCGGTCCTTCGCCAGAGAGGCTTTGGGGGAGGGGGGGGCGGGGGGGGGGGGGGGGGGGGGGGGGGGGAGGATTTCCAAATAGGTGGTTTCGGGCTTGGGGTCCCGCTTCAGCAAAGGGCTTCGGGGGATCGAGGCCGAGGTTTTCTAGAGGACCGTGCTCGCGCAACGAGCAGTAACTCCCCTGGTAGTGCATGCACGCAGGGGTCCCGCTTTGGACAAGAACCCACATCAGAACCCACATCTGAATCATCTATTTTCATGCTTGGAGACTTGGCAGCAGACGCTTTGCAAGTGCAGATAGCAGCAGAAATCTCAGAGGCGGGATAAGAATGGGATAAGACTTCGAGGCGAACCATGCCCCACAGCCAGGGCCCGAAACCCTGAAGACTGGACCGCGCGCCCCAAAACCTGATTAGTCCCTTGCACGTCGGGAAGCTGTGTGTAGCTTTAGCCCCTGTGGTCCGGAGGTTAAGTACCAGGATGTGATAAGGAGTCTAAAAGACTTTTCTCTGACATCTTGGAGTCAAAGTACTGCCCTGCCTGCCATCGGCTCACGACCACCAGCAGACCCTGCAAGTGTGCAGAGCTGTCTCGGTTGGGAATCTTCGGGGTTTTGGAGGCTTCAGGGCTGTGGTTCAGCAAGCAAGCCAGTCTCAATCAAGCCTGGCTTGGGGGCACATGTAGCTTGGGTGCGATGCCTGGAGTGCGGAGCGCCGCAGCACAGTCAGGATCTTCCTCAGTGCGGGGGCCCCAAGCGATGATTCAAGCAACACACCCCGGGGCATCGGCTCACCACAGCCATCATCAAGGCCATCCTCAAGGTGTCCCAAAACTCCGCCATCCAAATGCAACAGTTTCCAGGAGAGGACTCGCTGCGCTCCTCACAACCCTCTTCGGCATCGCTGGCATGACCTGTCTCAGGGCTGAGCTCTGCCCTCACTGCCCTGCCTGCCTCCGCTAGACACGCTGTCAGTGACGAAATGCCCACTGACAAAATGAGACATGTACTTGTCACGCGGCCTTCCTCGGGATTGCCACCCTGGCAATGGCCAAAACGTGCTTTTTGGACAAGAATGCTTTCCAGCGCACACAGAAACCATTGACGGAACCTGACTACCTCGTGTCTAGCTACCTAGACCTCGTGCGGCTGCGGATGCTAGCGGATGTTCGTGGCAGGTCTCACGATGTTTGGGGCGCCTCCTCTCTTGGCTTCCTTAGGCGAAAGCCGTAGCACCAGCCTCAGCCGAGCTGGTCAAGGAGCCGAGGAGAGTTGAATGAGTTCTGCATGATCTGCATGTTCTGCATCTGCATAATCCGCATGCTTTTCCCTCGTCTCTCGAGGTCAGAGCTGGTCACTTCTTGGAAAGCCAGGGCGGCACGGAAGGCCTCTCAGTGCGTCTTTGAGTGACGGCATTCTCGTTCGTTTTGAGGGTTCTCGCTTTAGGTTTGGGAGGTTGAGGGGTTAGGGTCGGAACCAGCGCCTGCATGACCCGCGCGACATCCTCCGGGCGGGAGATGGTGCAGATATGTGCCTGCCTCAGAATGCAAACCCCCCGCCCCACTCTGGTACAAAGAACCTTAATGGTTAGCGCGATGTGCCCGGAGGTCTGAGCGCCGGACAGGGATCCACCGCGAACCTGGGAGATTGCGGATGTTTTTCATGCGGGAGGACTCGAACAGCTTGGAACTGCTCCAGCGCACGCCTCCTTGCGCAGTCCAGAAGTGAGCGTGTCCAGCGAGTCTACATCCTTAGCGCCCTCCCGTTGTCAAGCCTGCTGAGACCTACAAACACCGCTGTTTGCGGGTTGCTCCTGCAAGTCTTAGCCACACGCCCGCGCTCTGCCCTGGGCAAAAGCCTTGGCAGCGGGCTTTATTTCAAGAACTTCTACAAGGTGGTGTCCCGCCAAATCCGAAAACACCCCCACGTCCAAAGCCTCATGGCTATGGCTGGTGCGCGTGTGGGTGCCTTTTTGGTTGCTGTCGTTGTGCTTCGCAAGCTTCTCAGAAACAGTTGAGGCTGCCGCAGCCCAGTCAAAGGTAGGAGGTGCCGCTGCCGCGCACGGCTCCTAGCCGAGCAACGGGGCGAACAAGGACTAGAATTCAGAAGAGGGTGGTGGGAAATTGTGGTTATTTGGGGCTGCTTATTGAAAGGGGTCCCATATGAAAGGTACCTAGATAAAGACTTCAACGACAGCATGACAGTTCTGTGCGACAGCATTTTCCTGCGAACAACGCCTGATGAACTTGGCATAAATTGGATGCTCCCAGAACACGGACATGCTTGCATCAGGAATGTGACTCACCAAGGTGCTCTTGTCGAAACGCCCTTGCTCAATCCGGTACCACTGCACTACCATCCGACGTCGCCATCCCCCCCGTGGTGGTCTGCGCGGCCCGATTGTTTTTGGGACCCCTGAACCTAGCAGCAACTCAGCTCTTCAGCCTGTGCCGCAGTGATCATCACGAAGAGCCAACATGGGCCAACGGCTACGAACTTGCTGATATTTGCTGGAATGGAGTAGGGGTGAGGTATGGGGGTGGGTGTGGGCCATAATGAAGCTGCCATGAAGTCAAACCTTGATGCTCTTGTACTAACTACAAAACAAAGCTGTCACCAACCTTGAACCACATGTTGCAAGGTGCCATGCGGCCTGACCAGGCTGACAAGTGCTGGCGGCCTGTGCTCACACAGTAGCCTGGCCGAATCAAGCCCAAACGCGCATGCCCAGCACAAGTTCTGCAGCACGCTTTCACCCCGGCATGCTCTTGACGGTAGCCGCGGCGAGCAAATGGCGCAGCCATGAGTCCACACCTGAGGCTGCTGGGGGCCACTCCGCTGGGCTCAATTGCTCAGAGCTTCAATAGGGGCCCGCAAATCCCGAGCCCTGCAATCATTGCTCTGCAAGTGTGAACGAGCATTGATCTAGAAGAGAAGGAAGTCTTGACCAGCTTGATGCGAACAAGCCTGTGTATCATGCTCCGGGTTGGGGAGGGGCGGATAGCCCAGAGATGCGGATGCTCAGAGATTAGAAGATGCCCTCCAGGGAAGACCCAAGAAGAGAAACACAATACACCCCAGCAGAGTGTGTGGCTGATTTTGCTTGGCTCTCTGTCAATGCACATGCACCCTGCACGTGCCCGAAGTATCCCGGCTTGAAAGTGCCGGCACTCAGGGTCGTGCGGGCTTGCTCTTCGAAGGAGTGAGCCATCTTCAATGCCGTGCCCAGACACATTATGCAACTGCATGCATGCATTCTAGGCAATTCTCAGTACTCCACAGCATCTGTCGCACAGGAGTCTTGAAGATGGTACGCGTAAAATCACGTAAATGCAATTACTCGTACTGGGCCGCTCCGCCTCTCATTTCGCACTTTAAAAACTGCATTTCCAAAATGACTTGCAATCTAAGCCCAGCATCCTTTGGCTTCTGAGTCTTTGCCCACATTTGTGAAACTCTTCATCAAAAAGGTCTAAGGCCGCAGGTACAAGCTTCAAGAAGTGCTGCCATCGGGTCTATGCGAAAGCGTGCGAAGCTTCTCTTCACCGCTCGCAAAAGATCATACACTGGAGGCCAGTTTACCTGCAGCTCCACACCTCTACGTGCACTACAGCTACAAGCGCCTGGACTCAAATTCGTCGTCAGAAACGCCGGTTTCCCAACTCTCCTCCCAAAAGGTCTGAATGTGTCAAAGAGGGCTGTTGTGAAGTGTGAAGCATCATATCCGCCACGAAGTCGAAACTTGAGGTCCTACCTGACGACTGAACAAGACGAGAAAACCGCCGTCACCCTCTTGCGCACGTGGGATCACAGAGCGTGTCTCAGGAGGTGCCCGATTCCGACCAGCTGCGTGATAAGACACTGCACGACCTCCCGACCGACCGCCCTGCGCGTGGCCTCGATTCCGTCGTCCTTCAACGCTTTCGGAGCCACCAGGCGGGGAGGTGTCGTCCAGACTTGTCAGGGACACGTGCACGCAGAGACTGCACTGATGAAGGTCAGGGGTCGGGGATTCGGGATCCCTGAATCGTCAAAGGCAGTAAGGGAAGCAAAGTCGTCGAGTAGCAGAGTGCAAGTAGCTTTTGATTTTAACTGTGCATGTCAAGGGAAGCCTTCGCGCGAGAAAGCACCAGCTGCACCCAATCCTGGGCACCGCAAGGAGGGCTGGAGGGGTCTTCCCAGCTCAGCTGCCTCTCAAAAGGGCTCTGCGAAGCTCTGCGACGCTCTCTGCTCTGCAAATCTCACCGCTGAGACAGGAGCCCAGTCCCTTGAGCTTTGGGCTCAGCGCCTCTCTGCAAACTCAAAACCATTCAAAGAAGACTCAGTTGTAACTCTCGATTTGGCTCCCAGACTTGTGTACCTGGGCCTATGCTGGCCCTATGCTGGGCCTATCCTACATGAGCATGAAACCAATGCGCTGCAACGTGTAATCTGCAGAGAGTCAAGCTGCCAAGCACTTACAAAGGACAAAGAAGGTGATGTAAGGAAAGCCAGGGAAACCCTTTTCATGACTACCAGTCATTGCAAGAAACTCCGAAGCCGGTGGACACGCCTCATCGGCTTCGGCACCCTGGGCACCCTGGGCAACCTGCATCAGCCAGCATCAGCCAGCATCAGCCAACGGCCAACAGCGAACTGAGCACGCCCGCAACTGAGCATGCCTCATCTGCGCCAGTGAAGCTGCTTTGTCTGTGGATCTCTGCCTGTGAAGCCTCTGACTCGTCCACGGCACTGCGGTTCGTAGACTGGGCGCCTTGGGCCAAGGAGCTTTTTGCTAAGCTGCCGATAGATACTGAGAAGAGACCACGCGTGTAGCTTCAGCTTCGGCACTCGAAGACTCAGCCGGCTCATGGGCGGGCGGGAGGGGACTGGAAGGACATACGTATCATGTGGGAATGAGATGGACATGAGATGAAATGAAGAGCTGAGCTGCTCACCACCGTCAGCAGTAGATTGAGACTCCTCTTTCTGGAAGTGCCGAAGATGCGCCTGACTGTGGACCGGTTGCAGAGTCCGTAGCTTCCAGCGCACCACCTTCGAGTTCTGAAATTCGCCCCTCGGCTTCCTGCCGAGAAGCGTCTGGAACAAGCAGACCTGGATCCGGTCTCCTGCCCCCTAACCCAACCCTTTCGTGCAGAATTTTGTGACCGGCCCCCCACCCCCCCCCGCCCCCCGCTCTTCCCTCGAGCAGCTGCAAACCGAGGGTCCCCCCCCCCCCGCCGCCCCCTTCCCCGCCCCCCTGCACTTTTTGGAACCTTAAGCGTATTTTGTGCGGGAATTTTCTAGAGGGCGCCTCCAGGCGTCATCTCCACATACTGCATGCTCTGGGCCGGCCCGGCTGCCGAGGCGGCGCGCGCAAGCGTTTAGAACATACGTGTTAACCAGCTGGCACCGGCTGGCACCGGCTGGCACCAGCGAAGAAGCGCAGCCACTGATCCATCCACGACCCGTCCGCTCCCTCGGGGGCGAAACCTCGGCATCACACTTGGCGCGTCGAACCAGGTGCGCAGCCTGCGAGAAGAGGCAAATTGCATTGCGGCCGTTGCAGGTATTGGCGACACGGGTTGCGCATTCTAGCACTTTAGCATCGCTGGTATCATCTGCCTTCCATGAGCTTCTGAAGCATGCTGGAAGGGAATGTAAGCCCCTTTCAAGGCATTGGGACACTCGTATCTCTTGCCTCCTGCTGCTCCAAGGCAAACATTTGCCTGGGCGTGAAGGCCTGGCCGGCCTGACAGGGGAAGGCTGCCGTTTGCATGAAGAAACTGGCAGATTTGCACGTTAAGCTGGGCTATAAGCAAACGCGCTGTGTGGTTCAGAAGCTTACTCTGATGAGGGTTGCGCCCTGTCATTGCAACCAGGCTCTACACTAGGCTCTACACTAGGCTCGACACTAGGCTCTACACTAGGCTCTACACTAGGCTCTACACCAGGCTCTACAGCTTAACACGTCCAGGCCTGGATGACTGCTCCCACTGCAACACACTCAGCAAAGAGTGCAACGCTCCTGAACCCCCAAGGTCAAGGAAGCCAGGTTGGGGTCGAACACGCGCTCCTGACACAGAGAATGGAGAATACACAATAGCTGAAGGGTAGCTTTGGTTCAAAGCCTGGAAAAGGAACCTGCTAAACGGTGCCGCGCAGCATTTGGGGTGCTACAGGGTTACGGGTCTCATGATGAAGCTCCGCCACCACTCACTACACCACCTCGTGCAGTAGCCGCATACAGCCAGCAAGTCAAGCGAGTACCCTTTTGCTTCTCTGCTTCCTGTTTATGGTCGGAAGTCGAGTGGTGGTACCTCGAGTGGTCCGGCTGCTTCCCTTGTACAGTCGCATCTGCGAGTTTGCTCATAGCAGAAAGTGAGGGATGCAGCCGTGCCAGTGCGGCATCGTTCTTTACGAAAGCCGTACGCTTCTGTCGAGTCTGCGATGTGTGCGGCCTCCCAAGTACCTGAGGTTGAAACACAGGGTGACGTTTCCTGCGTCTAGAGTCGCAGGTTCTTCTTAGAGGTCCTTACTGGTACCTGTCGATGCCGGTGGCATATGTCGTAGACGCAGCAAACGATTTACCCTGCCGCCTTAAGCACACGGATGGGCGTTGAATGCTGGCCAGAAGCCGCCCAGCAGAAGGATTCAATTCCTTTTGCCGCCTAGTGCTGCAGATTTGCTGGCACTTCAATGACCCCTACTCGGCGTCTACACTGCACTTCGCGTCCAAGAACAGACTGATTGCTCCATTGCTCCATTGCTCATGCATGCTCTCCTCCCCTAGATGTAACTCCATTTGGGCATGCCTCGCCAGCATGCGAGAACAAAAACACATTCTCTGCAGAGCTCTCTCAGCTCTAAAGCCGTTGGAAGCTTGGCCAGGGAGGTCGGGCACTCCCAGTCCAATCGCTTGGAGCTCATCGGACCGGTCGAGAGCCTCCTCTGAAGCGCGAGTTTCGAGAAGGTCCCAACTTTGGGGCAACAGAGCACGCGACTCACTGGGGTGGCTCACTGCCGCCCCCAGGAGCTGTTGTAATGACTCGCTTTCGATGTATATGAAGTGTGGTTTTTACTAATACTTCCAAAAAGGCACCCAACATTTACAATCAGCAACTAGAAGCAACCATCATGCACACTATCAATAGCAGCACATATACATATACATATACATATACATATACATATACATATACATATACATATACATATACATATACATATACATATACATATACATATACATATACATATACATATACATATACATATACATATACATATACATACAGTATACGTATACGTATACGTATACATATACATATACATATACACATACATATATGTGTTTGTACATACAGATGATGAACAGGAAGGCTCTTGTTGGCCCAGGCAAGTTCGAACCCTCTCATCACGCTTCCGAAGCAAGATGTAAGTGCAAGAAGAAGCGATGCTGCACAGAGTGCGCATGGCGACTAGATTCAACGGGGAATCTGTGGACATGCCCGCCTGCTCCGCTGTGAAACAGACCGGCGGGCAGTCAAGCATTTCCAGTGCTAGCTCGAATGGAGGCTATATACCAGTTCGGGCCTGTTCCGCCTAGAAAGGGAATGCTCCTCTGGACCCCGTCTTGGAGCGATCTTGAAACCCCGCCGCGTATGCAAAATCCACGGGCGTTGAGATCACAGCGCTGCATTCCACAACCGACTTTGAGGTATGAGCATAGTCTGTTGCACACATAGAAGCCCATAGGAGAGCAGACAGACGTTGTATCTACGGAAACGAAAAAAAAAACATGACGCACCCACTCGTTGTTGCCAGAGCCCTATCTTTGGATCACCAGAGCCTCACATCAGCAGGAGACTGCTGACAGCAATCCATTCAAGCTCATCGGCGCTTGTAAATGTAGGCCTTCATCCAGTCCTGTGTAGAGGCAGGGCGAGCTTCCTTCCTTTCCAGCCCTCACGCTACCAGTCTTGACGGGAATGGCCTTTTGGGGCATTCGCAGCTCCGCTAGCCACAATGCCTTCACTCTTGAAAGGCTCTGGGCCTCATTCGCCCCCCCCCCCCCCCACCCAAAGCCTCTAAACCCTCACACTCCCAGCCCTGGAAAGTAAGAAGCCATCCTCCTCCTCTTCCTCGCCCCAGGTGTCAATGGCCGCATCGGCCTGTCGGCCGCCTGCATGTAGCAGGATTCAAGAGTTCTATCTCGGATCTGAGAATGTGGATGTCTTCAACATGGTGTAGTTGCAGAGCTTCGAAGCAAAAGGCAATAGAAACTGCTGTTGAAAGAACCGACCCCTTATCAGCGGCACCAGGCTGATTCAAAACGAGAGTCCCCATTCAGGTACCTTTTGCAAGACTCCCAAAGAACCCTCAGTTTGACCAACCATCGGATTCATAGAGCCCTAAGCCCCAAACCCTAAAGGCCGTAAACCCTCTGGAACCAGGCCTGCTGGCTGGTTCTGCGCCTTCCACAGAACGTTGTCAATGTAGTCCTTTGCACCTGGGTTCTGCAACTTGCCCCAAAACAAGTGCCGCTGTTGATGTATAGGTGTACCTGCTTCATGCTTTTGGTCCACTTCGATTTGCAAACGCCTTCAAGCCTTCAAGCACCCGGATCGAGCTCGGCCCGGCACGAGCAACATCGCCAGGTCCGCCAACGACCACTACGTTCTGACACACCGAGTGCTCCCGAGGAATGTTCACCTTCACCTGGAAGGGGGGCTTCCCTGCTTTCCCCATCAATGGTCTTGGGAGGTCTTGGGAGGTCTTGAGGTCTTAGACCCCTAGACTTCGCATTACCCCCCACCACCTCACCACCTCCCCCTGTCCCCCATGCTACCATCTTGATCCATCTTGAACTCCTGCGACTGTCCCCCACCTTGTAGTTGTTCTGAATGTGACGCAGCTCCGACCCACTCTTGCCAATCAGGAACCTGGGAGTCGGGGAAGCTAAGCCCGTCGTGCATGCGGATGCGCAAACACTTCGTCGCACTGTCTCAACACTGGGGCGATCGCTTGTAGGCCCATGGTTCCACTTCCATCTCTTCGTGAGTCTGGGGCATGTCAAGGAAAGATCGTTCATGGCAAGTGCCCATTCTGGACAAGTGAGAGGGGAGTGAGAGTGGAGTGAAGCCATGAAGCCCTGGACATCACATAAAGGAAGGTCAAAGAGAAGACGCAAAATCTCGCCTGTCCGGGATGGGTCTTCTCATGGTAGCCGTAGGCGACGATGCTGTCGATCACCTCTCGCTGCACAGCTGTGTCAGCTTGCTTAGCTCGCTTGCCATGCCGGCTCCAACTGAGACCTAGTCAATCAAAGCCACGTTTTCGAGCGTTTTCCGGCCTATGCTAAGAAAGCCGCGAAGCACTGCAACCGACAATGTACCTCCTAGATAGCACAAGCATATGTGACAATGACAAAATCCTAGTCGCAAAGCGCAGAACTACTAGGTTCCCGAAGTTGTCCAAGCCTCACGGTTGCATGCCCGAATGCCAATTAGTAATTCGCAGAGGCAGCCACACTCCGGCAGTTCGCGAAGCCGAAAGCCAAGGTGGGCCAAGGTGGGTTAAGACGGAGCCCAAACTCAGTGTTGGCACCTTCTTCGCCTCCGCCACGTCGTCCTTCTTCCCAGCAAGGGTGACCTGCATGCCGAGGACAACTCCTACAGCACGCCTGGGCCTCTCGCGTTTCGCAAGCCCCTTGATGCAAAAGTCGTGGGTGTTTGTTTGCCTGAAAAACAAAAATGTCGACCAAAAGCCTATAGAGGGAGCTCCTCGCATGCGCACGAGCCTTGTACTTCTTCGTGCCAGTGGTGGCAGTCTTTGGAATCTCAGTATGCCATGCCATGCCATGCTGCGCAGGAACTCTGTCTATCTCTGCCTCGGCTTCTGGGGAGCTGACATCGCCCGGAATGGTAACCTCGACGTTCAACTCGCTCTTGAACGCCTTCCCAGCGCTTACTCCAAAAGAGTCCTATGGCCAAGTTGCCGAAGTAGAAGGTAAGTAACTAATACGCTTTCGCAAGACACAAGAATCGCTCCTAAACCACTCCCCAAGATCTGCCTCGTTCACATGAAGATAAACTCAACCAGTACTACCACTCTTCCCCATCCTTCCCATCCTGGCATCTGCCGCCTTGATGGTGACGCCTCCCTTGCCGATGAGGTCGGGGAACACCGAAGGATGCACAGGAACAGCTTCTTCCTTGAAGTCCTTGGGGGGAAAAAATCCGTGACTGCACTCAGAAGACTCACGGGGTTGAAGTCGGCATGAGCACGCCTCGAAGGCCATGGAGCAGTACCCCTTCTCCATCAGCTCCTGCTTTGCGTTTTTTTGGGACGCGGATTCCGAGCTGATGGAACGCCTGCGTAGCTGCGTGACAGCCGCCGGGTACTTGGAACTTGTTTGCGGGGCAACACATGCTGCCGTCCTTGACGGCATTGTAGGCCATCTCCACGGCCTTGGAAGCCCACAGCTTTGCGACGAAGGAATCACTCTGGAGGGCATGTCAAATTTCAGGCCATGCTGGGAGATCACAGCTTGGGAGTTTGGTTTGAATGACAGCTTTAGGCTTTACTTCGCAATGCGAGCGTTTCTCGGTTCTTTTCACGCGCCGTCACAGCTTTATTAACAGCTCATGCCGGGCATTCAGCAGTGACCTTGACCTTCCGACCCTCAAAAATGAACGTGCAGACAAAAGCATGTCCTGAAGCCCAAGCTGCCCGAGCCTTTCCGAAGCATGAAGATACCCCCGGAAAGATGGTGTGTTCACATGACTCATTAGCTGATGGTGAGTTGACAAGGAATTCCATTCGCACTTCCTTTAACCTCTTCTACCCGTTCATGGACACCTTAAAGACAACTATAAGCCCCATCTCTCTCACTCTTGTTCCACAGCCTTGTTCACCCATCACACCTTGAGACCCTACCTCTGTTTCGTGACCCTTAACACCTTGACTATGAAGCAACTTATGTTTCGAGAGCTCCCTCATGAACGTAACCCCCAATTGAAGGTTAAAGGCTTGGTTGCCCCGAAGCCCTGCCAGCGGCACCTGCTGCGGGCCCACGATCGTGAACATCTCGCCGGAGGTGTCGATGCGCGTGACACCCGTCTTCTCCTGCAGCTCTCGACACTTCACGGTCCGAGCCCCCTTTTGGGGTCCTACAATGTGGATGACACTATGTTGGTACATATGAAGGGGTACATCCACGTGAAGGGGAACCCACCTGGATCATCTTGATCTTGGAGCCCTTAGGGCCGATCACGATGCCAATCCTCAGTCAGGATGGCCTAGACCCTGGCCGGGGGCCCGGGTTTCGATGTGTTTGTAAGCCTCGTAGTCTATTAGGTACTTGGGGGGTTTAGGGTTTAGGGTTTGGGGATAAGGGTTTTGGGTTTAGGGTTTGCTTGGGAATCCGGTTGAGAAATCTTTGGCGTGGCTTAGGGCCTTAGGGAAGCTCAGGCAAGCTTAGACTTCAGGTTTGACGGATGAGAAGCTGTTTTTGCTGGGGGCTCCAGGACAAGGATGCCAAAGAGCGCGTGCGCCGAATGCGTCGCACTTCGGGGATACATACCTGAGTGTGCCTCCTTGAGAACGCCTGCTGGAGGCTCCTGTTGTGAGAAGTCGGATCGCAAGACACAACCCCCCGATCCTCACACTGCCAAAGATGTGAACGAAGACTGCTTCGTAACACTTCATCTGGCAGCCGAAGGTCTTGTTCTCCGGCACCTTGATCTGGGCGGTGTGCATGCTGGTCTTCTCAGCCTCGGCATGTGGCACACCCCCACACATCGAGCGCCACAACAAGTGCTGTGGCAGTCCGTCTTCCTTTCCTCCCACGTGTCTTTCCGGCTTTCTTCTTTCTACTTCTACTTCTACTTCCTATGACTATCTGCTGCTGATGAGTTCACGAGTGGAAAGTTGAGGATGGCGCATTCTCAGCCTCAACAAGTGCCCGAGCTTCGGCACCTGGCGCATCACAAGCAAACCCCTTTGCCAACCTCACTTTGCAAACCTTTGTTGACAGTGGCTGGCTTGAAATACGAGGCGATCCAAGCTGAAGACGATCTTCAGTGTGCAAGCAACAGATGAAAGACAGACATGTCCTGCAAGGCGGAGGGGCCACAGCGAAGTGTTCTACAAGGCCCGTTGTTGAAACTCGGCTCGTGCGACCTTTCTCCTTGACACCCTGCATGAATGCGGCGATCTCCTCCTTGGAGGCTGCCTGGCTCAGGGGTGCAAGAGCTTTCCAACTTACAAGAGAAAGAGAGAGAGAGAGAGAGAGAGAGAGATATGAAAGGTTCGCAATTCGCAACCCCCCCCCCCTCCCCCCCCCCCCCCTCCCCCCTCCCCCCCCCCTCCCTTCCCCCCTCCCCCCCTCCCCCTCCCACCCTCCCTCCCCCCCCCCCCCCCTGCACCCCCCCGCCTTGGGTGGGGCCATCCCCGGGACGATGTTGGTAGGCGCCTTATGAGAGGTTTCCATCGGGGGTTGAGGGTTTGGGGTTTAGGGTGTAGGGAGGCACCTGCCTGAGTGCCGGCGCTACGGCGTTCTTCAGGATTTTCGTTGAACTGGGGCTTCGGACCATGCCAGGAACAGTCTTCTTGGCCTGTGCCGTGGCGACGGCCTTCGCACAACTTTCCAACGAACAGCACACACACGCACACACACACACACACACACACACCCACACACACACACACACACACACACACACACACACCCACGCACACACACACACACACACATGGAATCCTTGAGTCAATCTTGAGGTTCCTTTCAGCAACAGCATAGCCGCCATAGCCTGCTCGCGCTTGCGCTGTTCCTCCTTCTCCTTCCTGCAGACGCACCAAACACCAACACGCACCTTGGGTGTGCTAGCTGTGGCTCCCCACATTCAGCCGCTCCCGTCCTCTTCTCGGCCTTCTTGGACAAGCCCGTCGACTGCTCCCAGTCTCCTCCGGTGCCATCATCCTCAGAGTCGCCAAGAGGCTGGATGTGATGAGAGCCACGCTGTTGCAAACGCAGCAGCTGGCACACAAAAATAGAGGCCACTGCCATCTCATAGGGCTGCACCAGATCGACTCGATCCTTGTTGTCCGGCTCCTCCAAGATGTGAGGTGCCACGACGCTGGTGACGTGACACACGTGACACACGTGACACGCGTGACACGCGTGACACACGTGACACGCGTGACACACGTGACACACGTGAGCTGCTTTGTGAGTCACTTGGGGCATGGCCATGTCGTTGGGGCACTTCTGATCACTTCTGTGTCTCTTACAGGGAAGAAACAAAGGTTTCGCGCAGCGCTGCATCTCCCGTTTAACAGCCTGAACATTCTCCATCATTGCCCCAATCCACCTCCTTATCCACTTGTGCTCTCGCAACTGTTCGATGAAGTTAAGAGCATCCATCCGCATAACTTCCGCATACATGCGTGGTTGAACCTTCTTCCGTCCGAGTCCTTCTCCTCTTTTGGAGGTGCGCCTTTGGCCTTGGCAGCCTGCTTCGCAGCAGGCTTCGCGGCTGCCTCAGAGGTATTGCCATGATGCACCTTAGGACCTTTTGCCTCAAGGATTCGTAGCGAAACGTCTCGACGTGCGCTGCTCTCAAAGGCTCTACGGTCTGGGAAACAGCGACCGCGCCTTCGTCGCGGGCGCAGGCGCCGGTGCCGGCGCAGGCTCGGCCTTGGCCTTGGCCTTGCCTTTCGGCTGCGCCTCCCGGCTGAGATGTGTGCGAAAAGCGCTGCGATTCTTCAGTCTTTATGCTTGCTTGCTGTACTTTCAGGACCCCAACTGAAAGAAGCGCCACCGCTCCTTGAGAAACCCAACTCTGCAACCTTCTGCTGCCAACCTGGGACACAAGCCCCCCCCTAAGCCCCATGAGCTCATCAGCATCCTGCCTTTGGCTCCGGCGCAGGCGCTGGAGCCGGGGCCTCCTGGCACGTTGGAGACAGCGTCAGCCAAAGATAGACACCGGCACGGGCGAACCCTCACCCCCGCAAGCACGCTGCACGCTGCACATCACAAAAGCCTCAGACTCCAGATCCAAAGGTCAGCAGCCTTACGTCCCGCGGCCTTCTTGCCTCCTGCCTTGGCTTTGGGATCCGCCTCCGCACATGCGGAAGGTGTGCAGGTCATCCGTCAGCTACAGAACAAGCCATGACGACCAAGAGCCACAGCCCAAACCACCATGCAGGTGATGCAGCTCTTGCTCTGAACACTCTGGCCTTCTTTGCTGCCTCCTTTGGCTTGGCAGCCTTGACACCATCCAACATCTAGAGCCGCGAACCGAAATTACACGCAGCTGCACTGTCTTTGCCTGGACCCTGCTGGGACACTTCGCGTGGAGATTAGGAGAGTCTCTGAGTGCAGAGTATCGGATCCGGCCTCAGGGGCAGCGGCTGCCTTGGCGGCAGCCTTGCCCTTGGCCTTCGGGGGCTCCATCTTGGGGATGTTGGGGGAAAAAATGCTGGGAAGAACGAGACACTTTCCCAAAAAGCATGTTCAAGCAAAATGGGGGTCGGCCTTCGGCTCCGCTTTCGGCTCCGGCTTCGGTGGCTCTTCCTGGGAGGTTGCATTTTAGACTTCAGAACACAAAGACATACAAAGACCATCAAAAAACATCAGAAACCCAAGAACATCCGAAACGGGCCTTCTTGGCTTGCGCCTTGGGCTTTGCCGCCTCGGCTTCAGCTGACAGGCAGTGACCGAACCCAGCCCTCTTGAGGCTGCGGAGCACCGTCAAGGCTTGGGGCGGCACAGCCTTCGCGGCTTCCTTTGCCTTCGCCTTGCTAGCGGGCCCACACACTTCCACTACGAAACACAGGTGCACGTGTCTGAGCATGTTGGCGTGCAGGCGCGTAAATATGCGCTTGCCATCACAGTCCATCTCGCACCCGTTTGAGCCGATGATCAGAGACATTGAAATCTGAAACCCCGGGCCTTCGGATCAGGCGCCGGCGCAGCCTTCGCCTGTCCAGGGGGGTTCTGCCACAGAACGATCCATTCCGTCACCCGGAGTCTCACACATCAGACAATTGCGCTCGAAACAAAGGGCGCCCTGATCAGAACCATAATCAAAGACTCGCCCAACTCCCCTCTCCTTGGGCTTCTTCTCCGGCACAGGTTCCGGAGCAGGTGCCGGGGCCGGGTTATCTGGCACCGACAAAGATCTGAATGGGTGGAGGTCCGAAGTGAATCTATCCATGGCTATCACTTGAAAAACGTCGCTTGCCCAGATGGTCAAACAAAGTAGCGATCCTGCTGAGAGCGTGCCTTCGGCGAACTTTTCGTCCCGCGCCTTCACGTCGGATTGGTCCACTCACATGAGCATGCTCATGCCCGCAAGAAGAGAAGCAAAGCTTCGCAAACCCCTGCAACAGGCCAGATCGAAGACCCCACTCGCCTTCTTCGCCGCGCGGCGCTTGGCGCTCTTGGACCTTCATCGCCAAACGCAAGATGCCACAGCGCGGCCGAGAATACAAAGGCGTGATCATCTCGAGTTCGCGAACCCCTACACTTCATGCTGAGGCAAGGGCAACTCAAACTCGCCGTTGTTGGTCACCTTCGGCTGGCACGCTCTGTCTAAATTGTCTAATCTAGCGTCAACTCTCAACTGGGAGGCCGTCACCGAGACACTTGGGATGGTTTACCTTATAGGTTTAGCTGCTCTGCCAAGCCGCCTCAGCCATCGTGAAAGGTGAGAATGCAGGTGATCGGAGGCGCCTTACTCACAATTGAACAAAAAGCTTGGTCGCGGTATCGAAAAGGGATGTGCTCTCTTCCTTTGGAGATACCTCATCTATGGGACATTGTGGCTGCGTGCTGGTTTGAGACTCCACGCGGACGCCAACAGAGCAAACACCACCTCGGAAACTCCAGCCAGTTCCAGCCACGCGGCTGTGGGCGAGCGGGTAGTCAAGGCCGGTCGGGGCCAAAACTTCAAGCAAACTGTCGAGCCAAGGAAGCATCGGAGATGAAGTACCATGCGAATGGGCGTTCCACACCGCAGAAGCCCGAAGGGTAAACCCCAAGGCTTCCTTTGGAGGATGCGATTGCCTCCAGGACAATGCCAGGAATAATGCCAGGATCAAGCTTTCCCAGCCCTTTGCAAAAGCTAAAAAGCTAGAAAGACTGGAGCTTGTAGTCAGAGCATGCGGCTACCAGGTCAAGTTTTCTTCAATTTCTGCAATGAGACAATGGAAGTAGTTGAGGAACGTAACTTCAGTTGCCAAAGACACGTCCGGCTCCCCAAGCCCGAGCCTCTTGGTACAGAAACTTCGTGCGGGCGCCAGCCCAGACCTTGTCAAGCTTTGCCCCGCAAGGGCTTCAATTTTCAGAAATAGCTGATTCACACTGCTGTACATGCTGGTGCCCTGCAGATTGCGGGGGCCTTGTCGCTGGCCAAGGTGAAGCCCAGCTCGAACGGTGCCGACGCGACTAGGCGAACCTGTCCGCAACATGAGCACAAGTCCTGTAGGTGGGGGGGGCGATGGCTTCATGTCTGAGAGTCACGGCACGGCGAGAGGCATTAGGATGCTCAAGCCAGGCCTCTGAAGTGATCTTACCGATCTTGCACATGAAAACCAGCTTGGCCGGAAACTGACAGAGCAGGGCACTTCCGGGCTGAACCAGCTGCGAGGTTGGAAGACTGCAGGTGCAGGATTGGTGCAGGCACCCAAAAGTTGTTGATGACGCATGTGACCCCACCGGAGCTTCAACTTGCTTACCAGCCCCAGGGTGACCTAGGTCGGCCTGGGGTGGCCTAAGGTGGCCTAAGGTGGTCTAGGGTGCGGCTTCCAGGTTGGACCTTGATGCCCGAAAGGAAGCCCTCGCTGATGCAATCAGCGAAGTCCTGCAGCACGGCGAGACTTCATTCATTCTCACAAGGTTACGGTTACGCGCAGCACAGACCAAGAGGTGAAGCAAAGCGCGGTGTGGACTGGTAACACGCCAAACTCTCGCCCTGTCATCGTGTCGCGATGTAGTACGAGCGAAACCTGCCTGCACCCGGCGCTCGTTCACGGAGACCAGGCGATCCCCAACCTGGATGCCGGCCTGGCATATGTTTGGTGTGCAGGTCTGCCACCCCTCATCGTCTCTCGCTGGCTTCGAAAACGCTAAACGCATCCCTCTTCATGACGAAAATCGGGCCCTTTCCTCCATACCACTACTGCGGAATCCCGGCATGCTGCCTTCTCCGCAAGCCCAGGGTTGCGAAGCATCTGGACCACAGCCCCAGACTGCCGGAGGCCTTTGAGGGCCGTCGGGTTATTTCCTGAGTGGGAAGGGGGGAGTTCGGGGAGCGATTCACTATTGCATCTATGTGCTCCCTTGGAAAGCCCGTTGGAAAGCAATTTGGTTCGGATGGTTTTGTACACGTATGTGCACTGGCGCACAATAGCCACAAAGCCCACTCGGGGAAGGGATTCCTGGAACTATTTTGGGGATCCTATTCGGGATTCTACATTTCGGAGACAACAATAACGGCACCCCCATGGTACCCCCTCACTTTCTGGCCTGGTCGCAGCACAAAGTCCTCGCGCAGCATTCGGCCTTGGCCAGAATAATCGTAATGGACATACATGTATGTATATATATATATATACATATATATATATATAAAAATGTATATACATACATATAGAAGGCTGAGCAGAGGACTGTCTTGATACACCACAAGCCGTCCCACGAGGCCTCAGGCAGATCTTCGAGAAGAAGCGTCCCATCTACTTAGCCTTCGACCAGGCGAAAAAAGCGGCCGCCAGGCCCCAAGCCAGCCAGCCGCCGCTGCTGCTCCCAGGCTTGCTCCTACAAGCGATCCTTCCCTGTTTTCCGTCTTAGGGGTCTTAGCTTGGTGGTTTAGGGCTCAAGGATCCGACAAGCAGTTGCTGCGATCCTCGAAGTCAGGGAGGCCCTCCTCGCCAAGGCAAGTGGAGCTCTTCGCGTCGCCTTGGAGGCTCTTTGCGGGTCACATGTCCCCCTCATGTGGCCATTCTTGCTGTGCTGCCGCCGCCGCGCGCTCCACAGCGGAGGGCCGAGGGGGTCGCGGGGACCGAGGGGCCTGAGTCCTCACAAAAGTGCGTGCGCATTGAAGTCAATGCAGCTTTGAGGTTGAGGGATTAGGGCTCGCGGCTAGGGGCACACAACGAAGCTTATGCACTCTCGGAAGCAAACTCTCCGCGCCTGGTTGCCGCCGGCCGTAGGGTCTTCTTGCCTGCAAGGGCTGCCACTGCGCTTCAAGCCAACCCTTGCCTGGACTCCTCGCCCACGTTGTCCACGTCCCACGGAACCCCGAAGCGTGGTTAACGAAAAAAACCTAAGAATGCAACTGGCCAGTGCCCTACAAACTGCTTGAAGGTTCAAAAGGGCTTCGTTTTGGCATGACCTTGACAAGCTACAAGCTAGAAGGCGCACCACCCGACGTCTACCTCCAACTTCTCTGCAAGCTTCAAGCCCATTCTGTTCATCCTATCTTCAAGGACACCCTAGACCCAGGAGATGAAGCTCACTGCCCAGAACGCTCGGCCCACACCATCCGGAAGCTCCGAACGCCAGACCCGAAGATATGGAAGACACATGGGCTACACTGGTGCTAACCCGGGGCTTTGCGGGGTTAAGGCCTTTAAACTGTTTTGGGCTCCTGGGGACTTAGATAGTTCTTAGACTCGAAAACACCAAAGTCTGGCCTGGGCTTCTGGGGCTCCCCTCTCTCCTGGCCGTGAGTTGGTTTTTACTTTCAGGGCTTCGGAGGAGGCTCGGTTCTTTTCGGAGCTGCTCAAGGTTTCTGGGCTTCAAGGCTGCAGATCATGTCGGCCCTACCCAAGCGTTCTCAGATCATGTAGTAGGGCCTAGCCAACCGCTCTCCTCTTCTTTTCTTAAGAGAGGACCTCAAGCGTTCCTTCTTGAGAACAAATTCAGCCTGCGCCTCGTCACCACCATGCGCCAGCTGCATCTTTGGCTCGTCCTCGCAGAATCTGCTGATACATCTGATACACTTTTTTGCTTCTGTTTCGTCAAGCTTGGCACCATGGTGCCCGATTCCCCGCTCTCCAGCGCATTCAGCACTGCCATGGCCGCGTGGCGGGCAGCCCGGTGATCGCTGGGCCACGCGGCCAGCATGGCTTGCCGCCAGCGGCTGACCTCTGGGACTTGGGTTCTCAGGAGCTTGCCTCTACGCCCTCCCCGCAACACCACAGCAGCCGAAGGCCTGGAGCGCACCACAACGCACACCCGGGCGTAGTGCAAACAACGGGCTGTTGCTCATCACCTCCTTCCACTGCAAAGACACCGCCCGAAAAAAGCGGGGCAGGCAGACTCGCATAGTACTCCAGCCTCCTGCGGAGGATTTTTGACCACCTCATGCCACAAATCCTCATGCGGGAGCGCCCGAGCAATTCAAGAGAGCATGGTACACACATAACGGACACTGGCACGCAGCGATCACTTCCGTTTGGCTGTGGCAATGCTATCGCAGAACCCTAGGCTTAAAGTTCGAGGCCAGGATACCCACGAGCTGAACGAGTAGAGAACATCATCGTCGTCATCATCACAGGCCATGCCGCTTGGCACGCATGAAGACAATTCAGACTGTATCCCTGCCTGCTCATCGACCCTTGCACAATCATGCTTGCAAGGGAAGCCCCCTTTGGCGACTAGCTAGAACACAGAACTAGACTCCAACCTAACCTAGGGCTTTGGGGCTTTGGATGTGTGCGGCTGCTCTCACTGATAAATGGCTATCAGGAGGGAACGAATGAAAACCAGCTATTTAATTAGTAAATGAACGAAGTGATCCTAAATTACGTTCACCTTTCTCCCCTTTACCATTAGGATTCTCTTCACCTCTGCCTCTAGGAGATAATAGTATTAAAATAAGCCCCTTGTACACCCCCTATAAGCCTGTTAACGAACCTCACTCACGAATCTGCCATTAACACCTTCATTACGTTTATAATGTAAGCCGCAGTGAACCTATGAACCAGACCAAGGATTCACGGGACGGGCACAATATGGTCTAGGAACCTAACATTGAGGGCTCTTTAACCTCTTCATAATGGATGGGAGATGCAGCGGCTGTCCTATAGAAATCCAAGGTCAAGATTGAAACGCACACATGACAGCCTGAATGTTGTTCACTCACACCTTATATTAATATTGGATTTCAAGAAGAGATAAAGGACGTCCATGAAGCATTAAATCCCGTACTAAATTCATTCATTCCGTTCATTATTATTATTGCGCTCACGCATTCATTATATTATATTCGCTTCTTTCTTCCTTTTACCCACAGCATTTAATAGTAAATTGTAAGGGCTAGAAAAATAGTAATATTTTATGAGGCCCTTTTGTACGTATTATTTGGTATTTTGGAAATCTAAACATTTAGAAGTTACATCAGATTCATTTTGTTTTCTTATTAATAGTTCTTGGTTATTATTCTTTGCTCTTATTATAATTCTATTTATCTTTACAGGATTTAATATTTATTGTTGGACTGGAATTCACTTCTCATAGAATTATTTTCTTATATTTTATCATCTTTTATTTGGATTAATTTATAGTTTTCATATTTGGTCTAGAGATTTATTAAGAGAATTCACTAAAAAATATGAAGTCTTATTAATAATCTTTTTTCTTCTTTTTGGGGGTTTTCTAGTTTCTGAAGCTCTATTATTTGTATCCTTCTTTTGGACATCTTTTCATTTATTATCTTGTCCAACTTTAGGGATGTGGCCTGGAGAAGCTTTCTATCTTCCAGATCCTTGTGAATTAACTTTTGCTAATACACTTCTTTTATCTAATGCTGCTATATCTTTAGGAAATGCTTTTATTAATTTAGAAATTTCATCACAATATATTATTTTCTTCACTTTGTGGTCATTCTATTTATCTTCTCTTTTTATTAGTTTGCAGATTAAAGAATTTCGTATTCTCGCATATTCAATTAATGATTCACTTTATAGTTGTCTTTTCTTTTTTCTTACAGCATTACATTTCTTTCATCTAATTCTTGGTATTTTACTTCTTTTTCTTATCTTCTTTTCTTGTACTGCTTTCGTTCGCCAATATTATAATTAAAGCGTGCATCACTACGTTCTTTACCTTATAATTACAATATTGTGCTCACTTAAAAGCCCTTTGAAAATATATTAAAATTGGGCTTTTAAGTGAACACTATTACTATTATGCGGGCACACTAATAATATTTTCATAGGCCCGCACACTATATTTTATTAGTCTTTTCTCTTCTTAACGGGCTAATAGAGGAGGGCGAACCCCCCAACTTTAAGGAGACGCAAGTGACGCGCCAAGACTTGTGGCTTCCTCACAGCGCTCATCCCCAATTCTCCGCAACACCACACGTCACGACACGTCATGGACCTGTACTGTACAGTAGTGTACATTGGGCAGGGCTTTTTTTACACCCCGAATTGGCTCCCTTGGCACCCTGTTCAGGATTTGGGTTTTTTTCGCACCCTGTCCGGACTGCCCTGGGCTGGGTCTGGGGCTTTTTTCGCGCCCGGGCTGAGTTTAGTGCTGCACATGTTTAGGGGCGATTCCCAGCTTGGGGGTCGGCTTCTTCAGGGGGATTGGAGTCATTTGGGGATGAGGCCAGGCTGGGTCTCATAGCTGTGCTTAGGCTTAAGGCTTACAGGTTGAGTTTCGGTGTTATGGCCAGGTTTAGGGTCCATGGAGAGACCTCTACCGTTACGTTTCGGGCTTAGGGCGCTTTGGGGTCTTTTGTTTTGGGGGGTCTTTTTTTTATCGATTTTCTTGGTTTTCTCTAGGAAAAACCCTACTTTCCTTACATTTTGGACGGATTTTCTGTCATTTCCCTTAGGTTTTCGTTGGTTTTCCATAGGGAAAACCGTATTTCTTTTAGATCTTAAACGGATTTCCTGTCATTTCCCTTAGGTATTCCTTGGTTTTTCCTAGGGTGTCATTTCCTTGAGGTTTTCGTTGGTTTTTCCTAAGGAAACCCTATTCTGCTTACATTTTGGACGGATTTCGTCAAACGTAATAGCGTACGTTGCTTTTCCTTCTTTTTCCTAGGGAAAACCCTATTTGGTTCGTTTCTTGGTTTCTATCATTCCCTCTATATTTTCATCGGATTCATACTACTTTTCGTCAGATTTCTTATTAATGCTTCTTTTGTGATTCGCTTTCTTGGTTTTTCGTAGGAAAAAGCTACATTCCGTCCATATTTTCATGGGATTCATACTACGTTTCGTAATATTAACTATCTTTATGGTGTGTTTTCTTGCTTTCCCTTGTAAAAAGCTGCATTCCCTCTATGTTTTCATATTATTCATACGCTCACATGATGGGTGTCAACAAGTTCTTGGGCTTTGAAGCGCGCTCTGCACGGCTTGAAAAAAAGCGGGAGGGTTGGGGGGGGCGCAGCCCCAGCCCCCCCCCCCCCCATTTGCAAACGCAATGTGATGGGCTTCAACTGCGCGGCCAAAAAAAAGCGCGGGGGTTGGGGGGGGGCGCAGCCCCCCCCCCCATTTGCAAACACATTGCTCACACGATGTTTTTTTTTCTCTCAACTAGTTTCTTTGGCTTTGAAGCAAGCTTGGCACGGCTTAAAAGAAGCGGCGGGGACTCAATAATCTGGCTGTTGCCCGGTCGCACGCCTCCGAAACCTAAACCCCCTAGACATCACGGTCTTGCGCCAGAAATGATGCAATAGTCTGGCTGTCGTCAGGTCCTTGCTCATGACTCTGCGTTCTGACCTCACCTACTCGCAGCTCCCGTGAGCATGCTTCCCAAACCTAAACCTAAACCCTAGACATCATGGTCTTGCCTCAATAATGACGCAATAATCTGGCATGCCTTCCGAACCCTAAACCCCCTAGACATCACGGTCTTGTGTCAGAAACGATGCCATAGTCTGGCTGTCGTCAGGTCCTTGCTCATGACTCTGCGTTCTGAGCTCACCTACTCGCAGCTCCCGTGAGCATGCTTCCCAAACCCTAATAAGCCTAAACCCTAGACATCATGGTCTTGCCTCAGCAATGACGCAATAATCTGGCTGTTGCCCGGTCGCATGCCTTCCGAACCCTAAACCCCTAGACATCACGGTCTTGCGTCAGAAATGATGCAATAGTCTGGCTGTTCTTGGTTTTCTCTAGGAAAAACCCTACTTTCCTTACATTTTGGACGGATTTTCTGTCATTTCCCTTAGGTTTTCGTTGGTTTTCCATAGGGAAAACCGTATTTCTTTTAGATCTTAAACGGATTTCCTGTCATTTCCCTTAGGCATTCCTTGGTTTTTCCTAGGGTGTCATTTCCTTGAGGTTTTCGTTGGTTTTTCCTAAGGAAACCCTATTCTGCTTACATTTTGGACGGATTTCGTCAAACGTAATAGCGTACGTTGCTTTTCCTTCTTTTTCCTAGGGAAAACCCTATTTGGTTCGTTTCTTGGTTTCTATCATTCCCTCTATATTTTCATCGGATTCATACTACTTTTCGTCAGATTTCTTATTAATGCTTCTTTTGTGATTCGCTTTCTTGGTTTTTCGTAGGAAAAAGCTACATTCCGTCCATATTTTCATGGGATTCATACTACGTTTCGTAATATTAACTATCTTTATGGTGTGTTTTCTTGCTTTCCCTTGTAAAAAGCTGCATTCCCTCTATGTTTTCATATTATTCATACGCTCACATGATGGGTGTCAACAAGTTCTTGGGCTTTGAAGCGCGCTCTGCACGGCTTGAAAAAAAGCGGGAGGGTTGGGGGGGGCGCAGCCCCAGCCCCCCCCCCACCCACACAACAACAACCCCATAATGTGCAAACGCAATTGATGGCTTCAACGTGCGCGTCCAAAAACGCGGGGGTTGGGGGAGGGCGCAGCCCCCCCCCCCCCATTTGCAAACACATTGCTCACACGATGTTTTTTTTTTTCTCTCAACTAGTTTCTTTGGCTTTGAAGCAAGCTTGGCACGGCTTAAAAGAAGCGGCGGGGACTCAATAATCTGGCTGTTGCCCGGTCGCACGCCTCCGAAACTTAAACCCCCTAGACATCACGGTCTTGCGCCAGAAATGATGCAATAGTCTGGCTGTCGTCAGGTCCTTGCTCATGACTCTGCGTTCTGACCTCACCTACTCGCAGCTCCCGTGAGCATGCTTCCCAAACCTAAACCTAAACCCTAGACATCATGGTCTTGCCTCAATAATGACGCAATAATCTGGCATGCATGCCTTCCGAACCCTAAACCCCCTAGACATCACGGTCTTGTGTCAGAAACGATGCCATAGTCTGGCTGTCGTCAGGTCCTTGCTCATGACTCTGCGTTCTGAGCTCACCTACTCGCAGCTCCCGTGAGCATGCTTCCCAAACCCTAATAAGCCGAAACCCTAGACATCATGGTCTTGCCTCAGCAATGACGCAATAATCTGGCTGTTGCCCGGTCGCATGCCTTCCGAACCCTAAACCCCTAGACATCACGGTCTTGCGTCAGAAATGATGCAATAGTCTGGCTGTCGTCAGGTCCTTGCTCATGACCCTGCGTTCTGACCTCATCTACTCGCAGCTCCCGTGAGCATCCTTCCCAACCCTAAACCTACACCCTAGACATCATGGTCTTGCCAATAATCTGGCTGTTGCCCAGTGGAACACGCCTCCGAAACCTAAACCCCCTAGACATCACGGTCTTGCGCCAGAAATGATGCAGATTTCTTATTATAATTCTTCTTTTGTGATTCGCTTTCTTGGTTTTTCGTAGGAAAAAGCTACATTCCGTCCATATTTTCATGGGATTCATACTACGTTTCGTAATATTAACTATCTTTATGGTGTGTTTTCTTGCTTTTCCTTGTAAAAAGCTGCATTCCCTCTATGTTTTCATATTATTCATACGCTCACATGATGGGTGTCAACAAGTTCTTGGGCTTTGAAGCGCGCTCTGCACGGCTTGAAAAAAAGCGGGAGGGTTGGGGGGGGCGCAGCCCCAGCCCCCCCCCCCCCCAGTTTTTCAAGACTCAATGTTATGGGCTTCAATTGCGCGCCAACCAAAAACGCGCGGGGTGTGGGGGGCGCAGCCCCCCCCCATTTGCAAACACATTGCTCACACGATGTTTTTTTTTTCAACTAGTTTCTTGGGCTTTGAAGCAAGCTTGGTACGGCTTAAAAGAAGCGGCGGGGACTCAATAATCTGGCTGTTGCCCGGTCGCACGCCTCCGAAACCTAAACCCCCTAGACATCACGGTCTTGCGCCAGAAATGATGCAATAGTCTGGCTGTCGTCAGGTCCTTGCTCATGACTCTGCGTTCTGACCTCACCTACTCGCAGCTCCCGTGAGCATGCTTCCCAAACCTAAACCTAAACCCTAGACATCATGGTCTTGCCTCAATAATGACGCAATAATCTGGCATGCCTTCCGAACCCTAAACCCCCTAGACATCACGGTCTTGTGTCAGAAACGATGCCATAGTCTGGCTGTCGTCAGGTCCTTGCTCATGACTCTGCGTTCTGAGCTCACCTACTCGCAGCTCCCGTGAGCATGCTTCCCAAACCCTAATAAGCCTAAACCCTAGACATCATGGTCTTGCCTCAGCAATGACGCAATAATCTGGCTGTTGCCCGGTCGCACGCCTTCCGAACCCTAAACCCCTAGACATCACGGTCTTGCGTCAGAAATGATGCAATAGTCTGGCTGTCGTCAGGTCCTTGCTCATGACCCTGCGTTCTGACCTCACCTACTCGCAGCTCCCGTGAGCATCCTTCCCAACCCTAAACCTACACCCTAGACATCATGGTCTTGCCAATAATCTGGCTGTTGCCCGGTCGCACGCCTCCGAAACCTAAACCCCCTAGACATCACGGTCTTGCGCCAGAAATGATGCAATAGTCTGGCTGTCGTCAGGTCCTTGCTCATGACTCTGCGTTCTGACCTCACCTACTCGCAGCTCCCGTGAGCATGCTTCCCAAACCTAAACCTAAACCCTAGACATCATGGTCTTGCCTCAATAATGACGCAATAATCTGGCATGCCCTCCGAACCCTAAACCCCCTAGACATCACGGTCTTGTGTCAGAAACGATGCCATAGTCTGGCTGTCGTCAGGTCCTTGCTCATGACTCTGCGTTCTGAGCTCGCCTACTTGCAGCTCCCGTGAGCATGCTAGCCTGAACCCTAGACATCATGGTCTTGCCTCAGCAATGATGCAATAGTGATGCAATAATCAATAATCTGGCTGTTGCCCGGTCGCATGCCTTCCGACCCTAAACCCCCTAGACATCACGGTCTTGCGTCAGAAAGGATGCTATAGTCTGGCTGTCGAAACGATGTTTTTTTTTTTCAACTAGTTTCTTGGGCTTTGAAGCACGCTTGGTACGGCTTAAAAGAAGCGGGGGGGGCTGGGGGTGCAGCCCCCCCCCACTTGCAAACACCCTGCTCACATGATGGGTGTCAACAAGTTTCTTGGGCTTTGAAGCGCGCTTTGCACGGCTAAAAAAAAAGCGGGGGGGTTGGGGGGGGCGCAGCCCCCCCCATCTGCAAACACAATGCTCACACGATGTCTTTTTCTCAACTAGTTTCTTGGGCTTTGAAGCACGCTTTGGTACGGCCTAAAAGAAGCGAGGGGGGGTTGGGGGGGGGTTGGGGGGGGGCGCAGCCCCCCTCCACTTGCAAACCCCCTGCTCACATGATGGGCGTCAACAAGTTTCTTGGGCTTTGAAGCGCGCTCTCACGGTCTTGCGCCAGAAATGATGCAATAGTCTGGCTGTCGTCTAGACATCATGGTCTTGCCTCAGCAATGACGCAATAATCTGGCTGTTGCCCGGTCGCACGCCTTCCGAACCCTAAACCCCTAGACATCACGGTCTTGCGTCAGAAATGATGCAATAGTCTGGCTGTCGTCAGGTCCTTGCTCATGACCCTGCGTTCTGACCTCACCTACTCGCAGCTCCCGTGAGCATCCTTCCCAACCCTAAACCTACACCCTAGACATCATGGTCTTGCCAATAATCTGGCTGTTGCCCGGTCGCACGCCTCCGAAACCTAAACCCCCTAGACATCACGGTCTTGCGCCAGAAATGATGCAATAGTCTGGCTGTCGTCAGGTCCTTGCTCATGACTCTGCGTTCTGACCTCACCTACTCGCAGCTCCCGTGAGCATGCTTCCCAAACCTAAACCTAAACCCTAGACATCATGGTCTTGCCTCAATAATGACGCAATAATCTGGCATGCCCTCCGAACCCTAAACCCCCTAGACATCACGGTCTTGTGTCAGAAACGATGCCATAGTCTGGCTGTCGTCAGGTCCTTGCTCATGACTCTGCGTTCTGAGCTCGCCTACTTGCAGCTCCCGTGAGCATGCTAGCCTGAACCCTAGACATCATGGTCTTGCCTCAGCAATGATGCAATAGTGATGCAATAATCAATAATCTGGCTGTTGCCCGGTCGCATGCCTTCCGACACTAAACCCCCTAGACATCACGGTCTTGCGTCAGAAAGGATGCTATAGTCTGGCTGTCGAAACGATGTTTTTTTTTTCAACTAGTTGCTTGGGCTTTGAAGCACGCTTGGTACGGCTTAAAAGAAGCGGGGGGGGCTGGGGGCGCAGCCCCCCCCACTTGCAAACACCCTGCTCACATGATGGGTGTCAACAAGTTTCTTGGGCTTTGAAGCGCGCTCTGCACGGCTTAAAAACAAGCGGGGGGGTTGGGGGGGGCGCAGCCCCCCCCATCTGCAAACACAATGCTCACACGATGTTTTTTTCTCAATTGAAGCACGCTCTGCACGGAAAAAAAAAAAAGAGCGCGGGGGTTGGGGGGGGCGCAGCCCCCCCCCGGCAAACACAATGCTCACGCGATGTTTTTTTTCTCAACTAGTTTCTTGGGCTTTGAAGCACGCTTGGTACGGCTCTAAAAGAAGGCGGGGGGGGTTGGGGGGGGGCGCAGCCCCACACACTTGCATAATCACCCCTGCTCACATGATGGTGCCGTCCATACAAAGTTTTCTGGGGCATTTTGAAGCGCGCTCTGGCACGGGCTTAAAAAAAGCGGGCGGATTGGGGGGGGGGGGGGGGCGCAGCCCCACACAATGCTCACACGATGTTTTTTTTTTCTCTCAACTAGTTTCTTGGGCTTTGAAGCACGCTTGGTACGGCTTAAAAGAAGCGGGGGGGGTTGGCCCCCCCCCACTTGCAAACACCCTGCTCACATGATGGGCGTCAACAAGTTTCTTGGGCTTTGAAGCACGCTCTGCACGGCTTAAAAACAAGATGTGGGGGGGTTGGCGGGGGCGCAGTGGCAACGAGGGCCTCCCTCTCCCCATTCGGTCCATCGACCTTGTTTCAGTCAACGAAACGCGCCACATGGACTTGAGCGAGCAGCTAAACTTGTTCAGAACGACTCTGCGCAAGTGACGGCGAGACGATCTCCCTCGGTGGCGCCTGGGCTCGGCTGTGTGCATTTTCGGTCGCGGCAAAGCTCCTGGTTCGCCGTGTGTCCAACATGGCGCAGCAGAGGGTACAGTAGGGGCGATCTCCCGCTAGGCACAAAAACTCTCGGGTTACACGTTTGTTCGGAGCTGAAACGCAGGAAACGAAGGTCCTACCTAAGTCATGTCTTTGCCCTGTCCTCCACTGACCACATCCGCTCATAGATTCCAAAAGTTTTAGCATCGCTAAATCGAGCCTCTCTCTTAGGATTTCTTCTGCAGTACCTCGAAAACAACAAGAAGCAAGACAAAGAACATCGCCCCAAACATTATCTTAGTCATTGGTTGACTAGTTCGAGCCAGTCCGTGTTGGAGCACGTTCGCAAAGACGTAGGAACACTTGTGTGACTTGTGTGGAGCGTGTCCGACAAACATGCTCGAGGCATGGGCGGAGCCTGCACTCGCTCACCAGACTTTCTTGCAAACCGACTAGAGGCAACGCGAAAGCTTTTTGCGTGCACCGCGCTCGCTTCGCCGCCAGTTGCGGGGCAGTCACTTGCGGGCGTAACGGGCTTTCTTCTTAGCTGCGTCCGCCCTGGGACGGCCCGGCTTCCGCTTCTCTGGCATGTTGTTCAAATCGAGCTCCTCTTTCAGACCTGCCACGAAATACACGTGCGGGCATTCTGCCCTTTGCACGAACAGGCTGCAAGTGCAGCAGAGGCGCCTGCCTTTGCTTGTACACCGGTTGTGTATCTTTGGGCAGTACCGGCCTGGGAGCTCGCCTTCCATGACCACGCAATGGGCGTCGAACAGCAAACTCAGCTCTGAGATGCTGACGTGAGGCGCGCCCTCACGCATCTGAACGATCTTCGCGTTCAGCAATGCTTCTCGTACTTCTGCCTCCGACATATGCAGCAGGTCCACGAGGTGTTGGGCAGTCGCTCGCTGGACTTGTGCAGATGCGGACGCAGACGTGTCCGACGCCTGACTGCGCATGACCCAGAATGCGGAGTTGTCGCGCTCCAGAAAGCGATGGTTGTTGCCATGTCTATGGGCCCAGTACTCGGCTGCGGAACTCATGCCTTGCCTGTGCGGCGTGGTTCCATTGAGGAACGATGGCTCCGGCGACTTGGGCCACAGTGAGGAGCCCGACTTGTCGTCTTCCCGCATGTAGCTGCGCCAATGCTCTCTGAACAGTGTCTGCATCATGTCCAGCACATTGCAAGGATTTTGGCGCGTTCTTCTTGATAGCAAGGACTGCCAAAAACTGTGGAAGCCCTCCAACGTCTGACTGCCAGTGCCCGAGCCTGGATGCATGCCCAGGGATCCACTCCAGTAGTCAGCCCAGAAAATATCCGTGCAGTCTACTAGTCTTTTCTCACGCAGGCCATAGAATTTCTTGATGTTCTCAGTTTGCTGCACATGAAGGTACTCTTTCACCAGGTAGTCTCGGGCTGGTTTTGCAGCAGTGTCGCGAAGCTCCTCTAAGAAAGCTCGCCAACAGGCGCTGAAAATCTCCAGTGTGGGCAGGAAGCGCGTGGCGCGGATGAAGCTCACGATTCTCCCACGTAGCTCTGCGTGCGTCTTTGCTGTGAGAGTTGAGTGCACAGCACGCATCATATGCGGGTAATCCCGAGCAATGCGGGAGTTTGGAAACACCTTGCGACGCGCTGCCTCTATAGCATCGTTGAAATCACATTGGACTTGAACCACGAGAGGCTTGAGGTCATAATCGCACTCCGTCTTCACCACCGAGCACAAGAGCTCGAACAAACGAATCCAATTTGGCGTTGATTCTGCGTCCATGTACGCCTGCAATATTGGCCGCATGGTTCCGGTGTGCAGAGGAACCTGCACTCGCTGCCCACTTCGGTGTACGAAGCTCGTGTTTCCAAGGTCACCTTTGCCGAGGAAACTCACGGTTGCGATCACGGCCCCTGTGTTCGTGATCTTGTGCTTGCCGTCGACGACAATGCACACAGGTTCTTTGTTGGGATTCACCGCGTGGTTCAAGAATCCTCGACAAGTCCAGCCAAAAAAAGCATGCCCGACTCCGCAATCTGGAGCTCCCACGACTCGAAGTTCATCCAACGGCCCAGTGGAGAAAGTCGTTGTCTGCTTGTCCGACCAGGCTTTCACTGACTCCAGCAGCTCTTGCACGATGGGCTTCTGGCCGCATTGCTTTCCCCCTCTGCGTTTTCTGTTCTCTCGCGTAACGTACTGCTTCAGCCGCAGCTTTGCCATGTGCGCGTCCAGGCCGGCGTCGGCTAGAGCTGCGCGCACACTCCGGCTGCTGAGCAGCGCGCCGTTTGGATGCGCCGTCTTGATTGCCGCGGCTTCTGCCGGCGCCCACATTTTTTGGCCTTTTGGTCGAGACTTTTCCCCATGTTCACCGTCACACTTGACTGTTAGCCAGGATGTGCCATCCGGTTTCAAGCTAAGACTTGCCAGAAGGCGCCATTCGCAGCTCGAGCAAGACTTCTTCGAGCATTCGCCTTCCACGGCGATACACTTGGCGCGGTCCAGCATCTTGAGGCGTACATCTCGTTGTCCATGCAGGGTTTTGGCCAGAATTGCACGCACTTGTGCATTCAGAGCCTTAATGTCACCAATAGAGAACTCGGGGCTGCCGTTGAAGAGAATTTCCGCGTACTGACGCTGCTGCCGCGTCTTCTTGCTCTCCTGGTCGCTCTTCTTCACCCCCTTCCGATCGCCGCCGTCCTTCTTGTTCTCCTTGCCATCCTTCTTGTCGTCCTTGCCGTCCTTGTCGTCCTTGCTGTCCTTGCCATCCTCCTTGTCCTCCTGGCCATCCTTGTCCCCGCCCTTGCTGTCCGGCGGATTGCCCGGCGGATTGCCTGGTCTAGCACTGTCCGCCAGACACGCCGCGTTCCCGTCGAGCGCGAAAAACCACGAAGGCACTCGCAAGGAGGCCAAGAACTCTCGAGCTGCTGCAGATAGTTCGTAGAGCTTGCGCTTCATGAACCCAGACACATCCTTCTCCTTGTCATAGGTTGAGGTCCCAAGCCCGTGCAGCTCCAGAACGCGGACAGCGTCTTCATACGCCTGCAAGGAAACGCATGACCGAGCAACATCATCGCTTTCCAGATCTCGTAAGGGTGCCCCAAGTCGTTGACACCACTGCCTCTTCCACGAGGTGCCCGGAAAAGCCGCAAGAATCTGCCGGGCTAGTAGGGTGGCCTGTCAGGCGTCGACTCAGATTATCACACCTATGCTTCTGATTGTCAAACACGCTTCACATGCTACGCGCCCGCCTGATTCTGACTTTCTGGAAAGCTAGGCGATTTCTTATTCTGCAGCCGTCGCGTTTCCACGTCCAAGGTCGCCAGGCCGAAAAGGTACCGTTCCTGAAAAAAAATCATGGCCTGCTTCAAAGAAGACACTGATATTGCGCCAGTCCACCTCACGAGCTCCTGCCGAGCGCGTACCACGGATGGCCAAGCCTCCTGTAGAATGCAGCATAAGGTCGCCGTGGCACCTACCCAGTACACACTTTTGTTCAAGCCGCTTGCGAAGACCTCACCAAAGTGCGTAGACTTGTTGCAGTCGAAAGCAGCGAGACGGTACTGATGCACCTCGTCTCGGAGGTTTCCCATCAAGCGCCATGTTCTCTGCGCAGATGCTTCGTGCAAGGCGGTCTTGGGGCCCAGATGTTGAAGCAACACGCTGAAAATGCCTTCGAGAATTGGCCGAACGACAGTGTCTTCGAACTGCTGCCATTGCGGCTTGCCAGGTTGCCGAACTGCCCCGAAGGAAAAGACGAAGCGCTGCGCGAGGCCGATGCTGGATTTGAGCTCGCCTTGCGCCCACCTCCGACTCCGATTCCGACGCGTTACAGCTTCAAATACTTCACAAGTTTGTCCGACCAACAAAACAAGAAGACTAAATGCAGATCGGACGCCAGTTGCGAAAAACAGACAGCTGTTGGAAAAGTGCGAGCGTCACATTGGTACACTCGCATTGGCCGGCCTTGTCCGCACCTCCAATGGCTTCCACGCTCGCCGCTTTGCGATCTTTTCGATCGAAGACGGTTTCCCACGTCACGCCTCCGCCTTGAGCGGCGTTCAGCAAGCGCTGGAGGTTGATGTGCGTGTTTTGCGTCCACGTGCCATTGCTAGGCCACGCAGGACACAACATGGGCCCGCCTTCACCAGCAGCGATGAGCCCGTACCCATCTGTGTCGCGAAACTTCGCGATGGCCGCCGCGTGCGTCATCGGCTCCACCATGTGGAACGCATCTGCTGGGCTGCCAGGCGCGAAGTGAGGTAACTTGTTCATGCAAGCGCGCAGCATGCGCAGCATCGGTTCAAGCGCAGGCGTTTTTCCACCTCCAGGCTGCGCAGTACCACAACACCAGTACCTGCTACGCGTGGTGAAGCCAGCGATGTCAGCGCCGATTTCCTTGTGCAGCACGCTGCCAGCTAGGCTGGCAAACGCGTCGGTGTAGAACACCGCAGGGATGCCTGTGCTGCGACTCCAGCACTCGAAGAGCACTGCCAGCGGGTAGAAGCCTGTACGCCACAAAGGGTACTGGACTTGCACGGTATCTTCTGAGGTGAGCCGATCCATCTCAAACGCTCGGACCAAATGTACAAGCCGCGCGCGCAGATGTTCAAAGGACGTCTCATCCACTTCCGGGCTGTAGTGCGGCAGAGCTGCTAGTTCAGCCACAGCATCTTGCCCGCGCTCGAAAACCTGCAGAATTCTCTCCACATCTGCTTCAAAGCGGTCCGAGCCGCTTGTCGGAGTTGTTCTGCTACTCTCTCCGCCAGCTTTCCGTTCATGCTCTGCGTCTGACTCGCTGTCACTCTCCGGTTCCAACATCTGCAAGCGTTCAAAATGGCTGCGAACTGGGCCTGGCCCTTCCGCCTGCCTCAAAACGATTGTCTTGAAATCTTGCTCACGATGGCAATGAACGATGGCTTCCACTGTCAAAGCTTGCGAGGAACCTTCCTTGGCGATTAAGATGTTGGCTTCGAGCTGGCGGGAAATGATCTTCAGTTCTTCGATGCTGAAGTAGTACGTGTTCTGCTGGATCGCAGCTAGATAAGCTGCAACTGCACGTTGCTGGAAGTCGATGGGCTCCATGGAGGTTCTTTCGGCCACACGTCGGTAATCTTGCAGAACACGAGCCACGTTTTCTGCATGTTCGGCTTCCCCTGACAGCTCTTGCAACACCGTGACAACCCGGCTCGCATCTGCGAATAACACTGCGGCGACTCGCAACGCATCGAAAACTTCCGCCTCATGTCGGATGGCTTCCAGCTTCGTCTGAGGGCCGCCTTCTGGCAGCTGCATTTGGGTGCCATTGACGATGCACTGCCCAGCTTGCATCTGAAAACAAGGTTCTTGGCCCTCCGT